GCTCAATCAAGAAGTGGAATTGCTATATCACAAAGGAAGTACGCATTGGATATACTTAAAGAAACCGGCATGGAAAATTGTAAGCCAATCGACAGTCCTATGGATCCAAACCATAAATTTCTACCAAATCAGGGGGAGCCTTATTATGATCCCGAGAGGTACCGAAGATTGGTCGGAAAGCTTATCTATCTTACTATCACAAGACCGGATATTTCCTTTGCCGTTGGAGTTGTAAGTCAATTCATGCAAGCCCCATGTGAAGATCATTGGAATGCAGTAATAAGGATTTTGAGATATATCAAAAAGGCACCAGGACAAGGGTTACTTTTCGAAGATAAAGGGAATACTCTAATTACTGGATATTGCGATGCAGATTGGGCAGGTTCTCCTATTGATAGGCGTTCTACATCAGGATATTGTGTTTTTGTTGGTGGAAATCTCGTATCATGGAAAAGTAAAAAACAAAATGTTGTTGCAAGATCCAGCGCCGAAGCTGAATATAGAGCTATGGCCATAGTCACGTGTGAGTTAATCTGGATTAAACAGCTTCTTCAAGAATTAAAGTTTGGAGACACTCAAAAAATGAAGTTATGTTGCGATAACCAAGCGGCTCTTCATATCGCATCTAACCCCGTGTTTCATGAAAGAACCAAACACATTGAGATCGATTGTCACTTTGTTCGAGAGAAAATCATTTCTAAAGAAATTGTCACATAATTTGTCAGCTCAAATGATCAAGTAGCAGATATATTCACAAAACCCCTCAGGGGACATCGAGGTCATTATATTTGTTGCAAGCTTGGAGTATTTGACTTATATACTCCAGCTTGAGGGGGAGTGTTGGAAGATATATATTTATTAAGTTGTTGTTAGGTAGGAGATTAGTATAATTATGTGGTTAGTTGGTAGATGATTAGTTGAAGTGTAATTAATTATAATTTGTGTATAAATAGCTTGTAAGATGAGTTTAGTTTAACATAATATAATATTAAGAAAATTAGTTCTTAACACATATATACGATAAACGAATCATTTGATTATTCATTTCTCTAATATGGTATTCACTAAAGTGACTATACCAACATAATTATTAATTTGTGTATGGATCATCACAATGGTCTAACTCATGAGACCTTTTATTATATGCTACAAGCACTATATTTTCAAGAATTTACTTCATTGTTATTATTTGATGATCCATATAGATATGCGGTATTTGTATACACATGTTGTATGTCAAGTCATTTGAATACCGAAAATTGATTGCATCGTTCTCATAATAAAATATTTTCAAAAAGGTATTCAAATGTACGCGATAATACTACCCACTTTTGTACTAAAGGCTCCACAACTTCATATGTGTTGACTTCAAGTCAATGTGCAATTTATTATCTCATTTCTAATTTCAAATATTCATTGCCATATATGTTTTCAAACTATATGGCCAATTGGATGTCGACATGCATTTACATTTATGAGATACAAGTTCTTCACTGTTTAAAAATAATTGCACGCACATATATATCAATAATATCCTTCGTACTCCCCATTTTCTAGATAATCAAGCCATCGCTTGTTATTTCACTTTTCCGGTACCGGATTCTCCTCGGAGAATTATATTCATACAAATGGGGATAGTAGCCTCCGTGGGTACGATCTCTTCTAGAGATCTATATTTTTCATGTACCATGTATTTTTCTCTTGTAGAGAATTTTATATCTTGCACCAATAAAGTTTTCATAATACTTTATGTGCTTGAGCTCATTATTTCTTTCACTAAATGTCCGATAAGGACTTAAACGCGCGCTTTTAAGTTTCACAATATGGAGGGAGTAATAAGGGACTATAGGTCCACTATATTTTCAAAGTCAATATTAATAAAATCACTTTGGTACATGAAAATCAATTCAAAGATAATCTAATTCTTCAAAATGATAGATTGGTACAACAAATACTTGAGAACTACTAGTCTCAAATATCTCTCTATTTCATGTAAAGAGCAAGCTAACCATGATTTATTTGCCAAACTCTTTATTGGCACTTCGGTTCGATTGTAAATGATTTCGGTATCTACCGTATAATCATCAATGAATTTCTCATCCAAATATAAATTTGATTTATGCCACCGTAATTGGCAAATATTTTCAAATCATATTAATGGATATTAGTGTTGAGTCGTCCCCCAACATTGTCTGTAAGACGATTCCCTTCATCAAATGGGATAAATAATAGGATGAGATTACAATGCTACTAGCGCTAGCAGACTTTTAGTTAAACGATATTCACCCACTTCTTGAGGTGCTAATCATTCGAACCAACATAAATATCTCCCCCTCTTATATGCATAAATTATAATTGGTTAGCTAGTGTACCATATTCACCCTTCAAGGGACTTCTTGATGCAATCACAATTTACAACATGTCCTTCTCGGACATTCTCTTTTCACCCTTCTAGGGTATTCATTTGCAACACATTTTTCAATCAATGCATCTCGCATTTTACTTATAAGATTGTTGCAATGTATTCTTTTGTAATGTGTGTTAATTCTTTGATGCACAAACCAAGATGAGACATATTATATTATATAATTTCACGCCGTTCCATGTAAATAAACCGGCTTCTAATCTCCCCCTAACGGCGGGAAAATTGTCTCATATAAACACAATTGACAAAGTATGTCATATAATTATCTCCCATTAGGGATTATTTAATCGCATAAATAATCGACTGTATTCTACATGTAATAAAACATGCGATAGATATGCCATATCCAAAATGTGACACAATTTTTTGTTATTTTTTATATTGGTGCTTGATAAAACTTATCAAAATGTTTTATCATAAAATGAATTCATGACCAACATTTTTCATATTTCTCATCTCTCTTCCACTTCTAATGATGAGAGAGAAAATGTAATATAATAAGCACCAAAATATCTATTTGTCTCAAGGACATCTCTTCAAATATTGAATATTTGTTGTATCCACTTCATGGAATAACAAAACTTGAACGAGCTTTATAATATTTCAATTTTAGCTCACAACTCGTATTAAAATACGATATGCCCTCATATTCTCTCGATTCGCTACAATGAAAGCAACTTTAGTTCTCATGTTGCTATTTCATGAGCATAAAATATATCCAAAGTATGGATTTTGATGGAGTATTTCAAGTCATATATATTGGAGAATATTCTCTTATATCTCCATAAGTAACTATATTTATTTTACTTTTACTTGTTTGTGCAAGACACGTGCCACCAATTTTTATATGTATTTTCATGGCACAAAATACTTTGTTTGTGTCTTGTAGCCACATTTAAGTATGAAGTATGTGGCTTGTGACTTCAAAACATATATCACCCACATGAAATAGTTTATTTTTTCATGACACATAAATGGATCTTCAACTTAAATGATCCACATCTCATGTTTTTTTTTGTTGTTGAACATTCAAGATAATTTCAAACCTCGTGATATTTTTCATATTATTGAATCACCAACAAATAATCTTTTCGAGTACATATATGAGGTTTATAACTTGACTTTGTGTACTCAATGTAGGCCTCAAGCCTATATATATATGATTTAGATCATCATAGTACTTAACCATAGAATAATAGTACTATATATGAATGAGAAATACATATCAACTCAAATCTTAAGTTTGAGTATTATCGCATAAACTTTGAGTCTATCATATTCTATTGAGACTTATAGTCTCAAAATGTGATCTAGGCTTCAAGCCATAAATTGATTAGATCAATTATCAATTTTCTCATTTCAATATTTTGTGGACTTGAAAAATGTCCACAAACGACAAATTTGTCATGTCTGAGTAATTTGCTTGTATCTCTCTCATTCGAGACCCAATTTCAACGCTTCAAGATGTTGTGAACAGCCAACAGAAAGTTCTACAACTTTCGTATTTTACATTTTATCAAATTCGGAAAATATCAGGTCCGAAACGGGACTCAAAGTCTTGCAAAATGACCACAAATGACTGATCTGGCATGTCTGAGTATTTTAAGCATATATCTCTTGATCGAGATCCGATTTTGATGATTCAAAATGTTCCGAACAGCCAATAGAAAATGCTACAAGTTTCGTATTTCGCATTTTCTGAAATTTGGACATTATCAGGTCCAAAACAGACATCGAAGTACAAACTCGTGAATTGCACGAAAAATCACCTACAACAAAAGTAAGATGGTTAATATTTTATCAATTCAAAACAAGAATAAAATATTTAAAATCAACTCCCTTTCATCTTCAATGGCTAAGGAGTCATCTTCCTTGGACTATCTTTACTCGAAAATTTAGGTAGAACAATCGTGCTGATAACGTGTTAGAAAATGAAGAAGAAGACAACATAACAAAGAGAACATAAGAGAGTAAATAGAGAGAATGCAATATGTATTTCTCTTCTTCTTCTTGTATCTCAAATACATTTACATTGTGTTGTATATATAGTACAAGAAAGACCTCTCAAAGGTCAAGAGTTACAACACTTTTAATGATGAATAATGGTGGAGATGATGGTGGGAGTTATGGTGGTGGTAGTGGGAGTAATGGTGGTGTAATGGTGGTCATCCACACCTTTAAGTTTCATAACAATAAATAGTAATATTGAAAACAAAACGAATAATTTGGAGTAGTTAATGCTTGTATTAGCTAATTTTCCCAAAAATCAGTAAATAAACACTACAATTAATTACATTCCAGCCCAAGGGCCAAAGGATAAAAGGCTCCAATCATATTTTTATTTAATTTCCATTTTACCCTCCATCAAATTTCTTCAATATCCAAAGGGCTCAAAAGATTGCCCAATTTATTTCTGTGCGGCCCAACTTTTAACAAATGAAAACAATTTTGTGAGGGACTTTACCGAAAGAAAAAAAAAGTGCGTGGCTTTTTCGCAAAATTGTGGATACCTAGGGACTACTAGTTAATTTTCGCATTAACATTATCCATTTAAACAAAATCAGCCTTCAACAACTTCTGTTTATCGCCATTGAAATTAAAAAAAAAAAAAAAAAATGGAAATTAATGTACTACAGCAGATGGGTCTTCCGGTATTGGGAATCGTTGCAGTTGCAGCTCTTACTTTCTATGTTGTTAGCTTTTCTGAGCTCAGAGAGGTAAAATATCTCTCTCTCTCTCTCTCCTCTTTCTCTCTCTACAAATTAATAATATGTGACACAGAAATTATTATTGATGTAATATAAAAAATAAATGTGACACAGAAATCATTCAAGGATTTGGAAGAGAGAGAAGACTCAGTTGGTTTCAGGTCATCTTTGAGTTCTAGAGAGAGAAGGGCCAGGAGAAAGGCTGATAAGCAATCTAAATATTGAAATTTGAAACCATCATCAATATTTTCATTAACTTTCTGCCAAAATTTCTCATTACTATTATTATTATTTGTTTGGAGAATTTATTGCACTTCTTTTACTATGTTTTGTTGCTCAATCTCAAAATTTGGTGTGAAATTTCAATCTAAATATGTACCTAATATTATTACACCTATGAAATTTCATACAAACCAATATATTTTTTAGTTTTTTACTGACTATCTATGTAGAATATTCAATAGAAACCTTTCGGTATGATTGATTGTTAGTATAGTTCAATTTTCATGGTAAATTACGAAAAATCTTATGAACTTAGACTAAATTACGAAAAATTGCCCCAACCTATTCGTAGTCATCAAAACTTTCCTGACATTTGTTTCCACCTTACACCGACTCCCTTATAGAGTGATTTTTCGCAAAATCTTCTTGATTTTATGGAATATTTCACGAAAAATACCTATTCTATCCCTACACACTTGTATGCTACTTTCTTAAAGCAAAAGTTACCATTAAGGGGGGTCTTTGTACGAAATCTTTATTCTAATTAAATAACATTTTCACAACTTTTACCGTTACCCACCGTGAAAGTAATTTTTTTCTTTATAAAGTAGGATACAAAAATTTCACGTTTGCAGGGGTATAATTGGCATTTTCAGGAAAAAATACGTAGAAACAAAAAGATTCCGTGAAAAATAACACCGTGAGGAAGTAGTCTGTGTAAGACGGAAACAAACACGAGCAGAATTTCGGTAATTACGGATAGCTGGAGGCGTTTCTCGTAATTTAGCCTAAGTTCAGGGAGATTTTCGTAATTTACCCATTTTTTTTATACCAAACATTTTTCATAAATGAAGTTCGTTAAATAAGAAAAAAGACAATCTTAGATAAATAGAGAAAGATGAAATAAAAACAAAGGTTATTGTGCAATTATTATTGCAACAGAAAGGAAATGCAAGAAAAGAAAAGATCCGAGTGTTCTTTACAAATTTTTCACCATTACCAAAATATTACTTCTTCTGAGATTTGAGCTCGATCACTCTTTCTTCTGTCTTTTTCAATGCTTTCCCATATATTTCTATCAGCTGAAATATCAAACACACACACACACAAAAAAAAAAAAAGAAGAAAAAAAATCAGTCCTCCATCACATAATCATGCAAATAACAGCATTTGTTTTAAGTCAATAAACATATTCGTATTCAATAAAGATATGCTATTTGGAAAACGAAAGGTTTTGTTTCGAGCTCATCAAAACAAGCCTAACGGTTTTTTCACAAAACTTGAATAAAGAAAAAAGAAAAAAAAACATTTGCCTGTATATTATCTATTACCTCATCAACTTCTTCAAGAGTCATTATAAACGGAGGTGACATCATTATGTTGTCACCGGCAACACGTACTAACATCCCAAGCTTTTCGCACTGTGCTCCAAAATAAGCAGCCACTCCTGAAAAAAAAATCGATAAATAGCATACAAGATTATTTTTGTAAAATTACAAAAAGTAAATTGGTTTATTAAAAATTTGATCGAAAAAAATGAGAGGCAAATAAATACCCCATTCAGGAGGAAAAGGATCATTTGGCGACTTGTTATCTACAAATTCTGTACCCAGAATCAAACCGGTTCCTCGTATCTACAAGATAAAGCAGTGTGCTTTGAGTTAAATTAACAATAAAAAAAAAAAAAAAGAGACAATTAAAATAAATTATTTATTTAGTAAACGGATAGAACGTTTAATCCTACCTCCCCAATGATGGGGCTTTTGGAGAATGCTTTCACACCTTCCTGAAATCTTGGAGCTATTTTATTTACTTGATCAAGAATATTTCTTTCCCTGCAGACGAGCAAGCATTTTAAAATTTGTTCCGATATAAATAAGCATTTACGAATTGTCCAACAGAACTACTGGATATTCAGTTTACATTTTTATTTTACTTCGATTTAGAGAGAGGTTCAAGAGAATCGAGCATCATATATCAAGATGGACAATGAATTCAATATCCAAGATTAGTATTAAAAAACCAAAAAAGCTGAATTCACAGGAAAAGATTCATAAAAACATACTTGTAAATCTTGAGTGTTTCGAGTGCAACAGCGCAGGATACAGGATGTCCGGAATAAGTGAATCCATGGGAGAAAGAACCTTCAACGGCCAAAAAGAAAAATTAATAATAATAGTGACCGTAAAAAAAAACCCATCATTATTAAATCAATTTATATTAAAGAATTTATCAGAGTCCGACAAAAAATGTTGGTACCAACCAAGCTTGTTGCTCTGAGAATATATAACGTCGTTGACTTTGGGGCTGATAAGAACAGCTCCAATTGGCATATATGCCGAAGAAAGAGCCTGTGTTTATCGATACAACAGAAACATTAAGCAATATGTGGAAAAGACAAATGGTTTTATTACATTTTTCGCTGACATTTGTTTTTTGTTTACCTTTGCTAAAGAGACGAGATCGGGTTTGATTCCATATTTATCACAGCCAAACATTGTTCCGAGCCTTCCAAAGGCACATATAACCTCATCAGCAATTAAAAGGATATCGTATTTTTTTATGACGGCTTGAATCTGCAAATATGTGTAAGAGTAATTGCATGATGATTGGAACACAAATTTATGTAGGAAATTGTAATTTTCTAAATGTGCATATTTTGGAGAGAAAACGATAGTTTAAAGTTTAAGCAAACTAAAGAATACAATATCACACGATCCTCCCCATGCAGAAGCTGTATTATTCCTTATGTAAATACAGGGTAATTACACAAGAAACTCACCTTCTCAAAGTAAGTTGCTGGTGGAGGTATCACACCACCTGCACCCATAACAGGTTCGGCTATAAAAGCAGCAATCTGAAATACACTACATTGTTAATTAGGAGAGAGAGAGAGAGAGAGAGAGAGAGAGAGAGAGAGAGAGAGAGAGAGAGAGAGAGAGAGAGAGAGAGAGAGAGAGAGAGAGACACACACAAATAGAGAGACACACACACACAAACAGAAAGAGAAAGAGAGATCCTTGTGTGTGTGTGTGTGTGAGAGAGAGAGATCACGAATATCAGTTACCGTCTCAGGTCCTTCTTTGAGGATAAGATTTTCTAAGTTATTGGCCAATCTGGTAGAGAACTCTTCTTCCGTTTCACCTGGACAAAAAAATAATTATTTCAAAAAGTTGATATGACCAAAGAAGAAATCGTGATATTTTACTTAAAAGGATATAAGGAAAACCTGGCAAATGATAGCGCCAATAATGAGGGCAGTCAGTATGTAATATGAATGGAGCCGGCAGATCAAAATTCTGGTGTAGTGCAGGCAAGCTGTTAAAAAACCGAATTATCATTTAATTACTAACTAATTTTCATTGCGTAAAAATTAACAGTTATGATTGTGAAGTTTTGAAGGCTGATAAAAATACCCTGAAAGACTGGCTGCTATAAGAGTTGAGCCGTGGTATCTGCAACAGCAAAAGGAAATTGAAAATGAGAAAAGAGGGTTTACTCAAAAACTAAACCAAAAAAAGAGTAATACAAAAAATATACATACGATTTTGCACGAGCAATGAACTTTTTCTTGTTTGGCCGTCCAAGAGCGTTATTGTAATACCAAACCAGCTTCACCTGCAATAAAAAGTTAAAAAAAAAAGAAAGAAAAAACTAATAGTTTATGCACAGTAGAATCTAGTTTTGAAGAATCAAGTATCTATCATAACACGTGCAATTCAGTGTATATTAAAGACGATCAAATAACCTGTGAATCATTGGCTTCTGATCCACTATTTGTGAAGAAGACCTTAGCCATTTTAGTTGCAGTAAACATCTCCAAAAGTTCCTTAGCAAGATCCTGAATATTCATACAGAAGTATTGATGATGAAATCCAAATTTCGGGATTCGCATCTTCAAATAATAATAAAAAAAACAAGTTGCTTTACCAAAGAGGGTTTTGTGGTTCGATTCCAAAAGGAGTGGTAAAATGGCAGCGTGTTTAGTTGTTTTATTGCAGCATCAACAAGACGAGGTTCACTCCCACCTGAAAATAACACAAGAATACATAAGCATAAGCAAAATAAGTAAACGATTGAGCGATCACTATTCTGATACATGTAAAAATGGATGATAGTTATTCTTTTACGTATATGCAAAAAGAACAACTTTAATGCTTATGATATTTTCTTTCGATAATTCCTCAAAGTGAAAAGGTATCACTTGGAGAAGATAACCAAGAAACAAAATTTCAATACATTCAGAGTAGTTATGTCCGTAGTTTCAAAAACTAATTTAGGATGCGTTTACTCGTTTCTTAAATCAATTTGTTAAATGCCGTATTTGATCATACTACATTAATAAGACATCTTTGCATAATATAGTTATACAGACCTATCATTTTCCATTAATACATAAACACTGTTAACAGCAAGAAAATATTTGGAAATATCGAGGATTGATATTGTGTATACCGAGAGCCGTGCACCATAAACCAGCAAGAGAATCAAGATACTTCTTCCCATTGGTATCGTAAACATATGATCCCTATAAAAAAAAAAAGGGGGGAATGTAACACTTCCAGTTTAGGAGGTGGAAATCTTTGTAAGAAACTTGAAATGTAAGAACCGACTACAGTACCTCTGACTTCTCGATTACTAGAGGATGCAAATCTGTAGTTTGCCATCCAGCTGTAAAAGGCGCCAGCATATCATGCCCCTTGAAGCTAAGTACGACAAAAGGAAATGGTGATAATCAGTACTTTGTGTTTATTGAATAATTTATAAAATCAATAGAAATAGAAACATTCTAACTGGAATCAAGATTCAAGAGCTGTATGCTGTTGTTATGGGGGGCAAAAAAAAAAAGACGTGCATACCCTTTATCATCTGTTGTTGGAGGATCCTTCTGCAAATATGCCTCTGTACTGTATGATTTTGCAAGTAGAGGAGGTTGAATTACATTTATCGGCAAATTTTTACCGGCTGAAATTTCCTTCACGCAGTAACCAGCCTGTAAAATTGCAGTGTCGAATGTGAGAAAACTAAGTTTAAAAGCCAGAAAAAAGCAGCACAAGAATGTATTCAGGATGTTAATGCACATGGTTAAAAATTCAGAAACTATAATATGAAATTAATGGAAAAACTGTCATAAAAAAAGGGTAAATTACAACCACCCCTGAGGTGTGGTCAAATTACGAAAACCCCCATCATGTTTGGGTAATTACAACCACCCCTCAACTATAAATCTTCTTACACGTCCACCATTGCAGTTTCAAATTTAGTGGAATCTTCGAGATTATATGGAATATTATCACTTTTGTACCCGTTTTATCTCATTCGAACTCCACATTTTGAAGCAAGATGATCATAATATGTGTTTTTTGGCTTGTATATATCAGATTGTGGTGCATCAGAAACTGTATTTTTACACAAAACAAGTACAAAGTAGAGCACATTGCACAAATTCATGATGATTATGTTAAATTTGACACCATAAGGGTGGAGGTGTAAGAAAAAATCATAGTTGAGGGGTAGATGTAATTATCCAAATAAGAGAGGTTTTTTCGTAAATTGACCCCAAAAAAAGGTTTAAATTGGGGAGAAAAATGGTGGCTGCAGCGTTAAGGTACTGTCAAATAACCTAGCATACACAATTAATTCATATGCGTAAAAAGCCCAAATAAATTAATTTCATGGTGAAATCCATCGATACACTTCACTTATAATTGTACATTTTAGAAAGCAAAGAAAACCGAGTTCATATGCGTGTAAACATCGATCAACAATCAGCAACAAAATCTCTATAGCAGAAAAACAAACTACGAAAAAATGCAGGAAAAAAATTTAATTCATATTACACAGACAGATAGTAGAGAGATAGATAGATACACCTCTACTAGATACAATACGACGGCGTATCCACACACAGAAACATGAATATATATGTTGGGAAAATTAAGAGAGAGAGAGAGAGAGAGAGAGAGAGAAGTAGCGTTTGGAAACCTGGCTGGCGTTCCTGAGAGTCAATCGAAGAAGACGATGCATCGTCACTTTTTCCAATTGAAGATCTTCTGATGAACAATAATTGTACGATCGTATCAATTACTGTGCGCGTTCAGTGTGTGTGAGAGAGTAGAGAGAGAGAGTAGAGAGAGATGATTGCAAGCACGACTCACACTCTCAGCAAAACGACGATTTTAAATAATGCAAATGGGGGTCTTAAATATGGACAAAGAAACGTTCGTGATTGACATATTCAGTCAAAACAGCCGTGACGTAATCTTCTTTGTGAAATGACGAAAAAGCCCCCACACAACAACTTCAAACTTAAATAACTCCTTATTTTTTGCAGAAAAATATTCATTTACTTCATTTAAATATATTTTCCTTGATTTGATTGCTCATATACATTTCATTTTTTTTTTTTTTTACGGAAATGCTAATTGCAGCAAGACATCTATTTGTTGCCGACATGATTTTATTCATTATTTCAATACACTTTTAACAAATCATACTGAAATTTTGAGACTTTGAAACTCGTATTGCAAATATTTTCGACGAAGAGCAACAACAATTGTAATGGCTTATTTGGATTACGATTATGAGGTCAAAATAAGTTGTTCGACTTTTTTTTTTTTTACAAAAACCTTCTTCAGAAGCTTCGTGTTCTACAACACGGAATTAAAAAAAATCAAAAATCAAAAGTTTCGTGTTCTACACTCTAAAGCACGGAATTTGGTTTGCGTGCTACAAAGTCCCTTTGCAAATAGCAACCCTCTGTATCTATCGTCGGAAAATAAATGTGGTATCAAATATCAATGCCATGAAAATTAGAGAGGGGATTTTCTTTTTCCGAAGTCCCAAATTATAAAATGTATGGATCGCGTTAAACTCTCGTTCGAGAGGTTAATCGTTCAGTGAGTACTTTTCAAAAATTAAAACCAAATCACAACAAAAATTAGAGATATAAATTGAAGCGATCCCAAAACGAAATAGCAATAGCCTCCAAAAATGCTTTCAACATAGCCAAAAAATTTACACCACAACCAAAAATATGTAAGAATAAGTCTTTTAAGTCGTATATATGTATATATAAAAGAGAATCTTATTATAAATATAATGACAAAATTGTTTAAAAAAAAAAGAGAATAAATCAAGAAAATTCGGTTTAGTTAGAGGGTTTAGCAGCAGAAGATGGCTTCTTAGGCTCTTGTTTCTTATCAGAATCTGCTGTCTTTCGTCTATCTTTTCTCTCCCTCTTCTTCAATGCAGTCATTCGGGTTTTCAGAATAGTTGCATAACTCGACTGAAATCGAGAATGATCTTTCTGACCAACCTGTCGTTCAGACAAAACCCACATGTTTTTTATCGTCTACGAATATAAATGATATCAATTTTTAATTAATATTAAATAACAAAAAATCAAGCAAACTGTACAGCATTCCACGAAGAAAATTTTGTTGCGGGTTGCACTTAAATCAGAATAAAAACAAGAAACTGGTTTCTAAATCATATTACAAACAAAAAGAACTAGATGAACTCCTCGATTGATTGTGTAATGACAAACACCAGATAAACTTGAACTAACAAATTATTTATACTGAAACGAAAAAGAATTAAATGTTCAAGAACCGGAGAGATTGAGTAGTTAAAAACTATTTTTTGTAGGAAAACAGAGGCAACTGAATAAGTCACTGAATAATAGGGCAAATTACGGCCACCCCCCTAAGTTATGGTCAAATTACGAAAACCACCCTCATGTTTGGGTAATTACAGCCACCCCCTCAACTAGGGAAATACCCCTCCAGAGGTAAATTAGGGGGGGTTGAATCGGTAAACCGAACCGAACCGAAATTTCGTTCGCCAACATTTCATACTACCGAACTGTATATCGATTTGTCCGGGTAAATCCCCGAATTGCCATAATTTTATTGGGAAATTTTTTAAAGGGGGGGGGGGGGGGGTGGCTGTAATTACCCAAACAAGAGGGGGGTTTTCGTAATTTGGCCATACCTCAGGGGGTGGCCGTAATTTGCCCTTGAATAATACGACAGGGAGTCGGGGATAAATCACACTCCCATGTAAATGGGTATTAAAATATAAAAAAACGTAAAAAGGGAGTGGTTATAGAATTTATACCATTGTCGAAATGGTCTTCTTGCCGTCAGTAGCTCGTACGAGGCACTTGTACTCGATCTTTTCTCCAGCTGTCTTCATCTTATTTATTTTAACCTTAGACTTGTCTGAAGCTGGAGAGCAAGCAAAGAAACAATCTAAGGTTGTCGATTTCAAACAGCACATTCTATTACAAGATTATTATCTGACAGAGAGGTGTATAAAAAAATGCAAGACGTTTATAACTTCCATCGCTTTAGCAGCCTTATACACTTATAAGCCTCGTTTGGGAATTAGGATAGGACTTGAAAAACGAGGGAGGATATTAATCAACTATGTTAAGGATGTTTAGTCCAATCTAAACTCAACCCGATTATCACACAATTCTATGAAGGACATTATTACGCGAGACAAGGATTATATTATCACAAATTTCAAATAAAGGATAATCTAACCAATTCAATCGATTTAATTAATATTATTCTGCATTTACAAACAAGGCCATAGGGAATGAAAACTCACAGTGCTTCAGAGTAACCCAAACAGAGCCTTTTTCAGTAGTTCGCTCAAACATGTTCGTAAGTTCATTGAGGAAGGGATCGGGCTGTAAACGTACCTACACAACAACATGAAAAATTAACAAAATTAGTATCTTATTCCACCGCGCACTTTTCGTCGCATATATTAGATTATAGTACACGAGCCCTAGTAAACATGCTGCAATAATTAATTAAGATTTTTTTTTTCTAAAAGAAAATTAATTAAGATTTTTTTTTTCTCTTTATGAAATTTCAGATATGAATATTCCTTGTTTCCGCCAAACCCTCACCCGCATGCATTGGCAATCGGCAAGGTTCGGATAATCGAAATAATACAAAATAATCGAAATAATTGAAACTTGTCATCTTAATATATATATATATATTGACAAATAAAATGTACTGTTCTAAAAGCCCTAAAACGAAGAAACCACATACAAAATTCACCGTAGAATTGAAGCATAGATCAATGCATAAAATCCGAAACTCGCACTTAATTCTCAACAACCCTAATTGATAATTCACACTCTCACAAACAAAAATCGGTAATCAAAGTTGCCAAATAAGTAATAAATTAGATAAATCATGGAGAATTGCAATAAAAAATGCATCATAACCCCCCAAATAATTCAAACCCAATTAAAAATAATTTTTTATTTTTTTTTTAAATATAGTTTTTGCGCAGAGAAGACAGATCAACACCAAAAACACGCACAAAAAACTGCCAATTAATTACAAAAAAAATACAGGGATTAATATATATAAAGATCATAGGGAGAAAATTACCATTTCAGTATATTGGGTGTGGGAGTTGAGGAGAGCTGATTGTTTGTGGAAGAAGAGTGCGGAATTTCCAAACCCCTCCTTTAATTTTATTTTCATTGAAATTTTTATTTGGAAAATTAATTTATATGTTATGCAATACTCTAAATCTAAAACTTTAATGGGCCTGTTTTCTTTCATTAAGGCCCAAAACATATGTTTCATCATAGGTCTTAAATTACTGGCTAAATTACAACTACCTCCCTGAGATAAAGTGTAATTACAAAAAACCCCTTTGTTTTTTTGGAAATTATATTCAAACTTCCGTAGTTTGAAAATTTCTTACATTCATCCTCCTATAAAATGTTGTTAATGTAAGAAATATACAAACTGCAGGGGTGGATCGTGGATGTAATAATGGAAAATGAGGTTTTTTTATTCATAAATAGACCTTACCTCAAGGGGTTGGTTGTAATTTACCGTAAATTACTTGTGCACCGGTTAACTAGGAGGAAGTACAGAAAGACCTTGTACACGCGTGCAATTGGACGATATTTGCCATTAGAAGCAAAAGTGAAAGATCGAGCGAATTTCAAATTTTCAAAAAATATTCTAATGTTCGAAAATAATTTAAATTTAAATATTTAAAATTTCAAAAGTCAAAATTCAGAAATGGAGCGTTAGAACTTATTCAACAATCAAATCGACAGAAAAAAAAAAATCAATAAAAATCCATATACTATACAATATATATTCATATGTTTGTAATTTTCAAAAAAACAAAAATTAACATCGTAATACTTGAAATTCAGAATGAAAATATTATTTCAAACATTAAAAAAATTGGATCGAAATATGCTAAATCGAATATTATGTTCCAAATACACCTAAAATACATGGATAAATATGAACTTGATAAATAAGTGTGACTATTAGAAGTTGCATAAAATTTCATTTAAACCATTTTTCTGTAAATTTTCAGTGAGATTATTTTGTAGAATTTCACACCATTAACTATCAAGAACACGAGTCTATCAAATTTACGTCTATTGGAGACCTCGCGTCTTGTGGATTTCCAAATTAAACAAAATCCTCATTTTACTCTCATAATTATTACATTAAACAAAATCCCAATACTTTGATTATTTGTGATTTATATGTCATATTAAAATATATATCATATTAAAGGATATATCAAGTTACCAAAAAAAAAAGAAAAAAGAAAAAAGAAAAATAATAATAATAATAATAATAATAATAATAATAATAATAATAATAATTTCATATTCATTTATTTTTATCATTGAGGTTTGGCAGTGTTTAGTTCAAAATCTTTCTAGTATTTTAACTAGAATAATTATAATTTAATATTGTAATTATTTGAATGTTATAGTGAGACGAATTTTGTTTTTGAAAATTAAAATAAGACATTTGATAAATAAGGGGCTAAAATGTGAGAGAATTTTAAAATGTGGGGCTATTAATGAAATTTGGACTCATTACAAAATAAACGAAAAATTGGTGTGTGGGAGCGAGGCAGTAGAAAAGCGAGTCACGCGCTAGAGAGAGGAAAAACTGGAAAAAGAGATTGCAGCGAGTGAGAGAGAGTGTTGAAGGAGAGCGAGTGGAGATCAATTCTCGGGAACCCTAATCTCCCAATTTGGGGGAAAAATTCGTCGACTCGCCCAAACCATCGCGTGGATTTGCAGCTCTGAAGATCCCAACTACAACAACAACACTATAAAAACTACTACAGGTAAAAACCCCTTCGTCTCCATTAACCCCCTTCCATCTTCTTCCTCCTCTTTCCTGCGTCAATTCAGTTTTCAGTACTTGTCTTTTTGTTAATTGATCGATAAATTCAATCATTCTTTCCTGCAATTGAATCCTTCCTGCAATTGAATCACGCAGCTTTTCTGGATTTTTTTTTGTTTCTCTCTCTCTTTAACCCTATGTGCATTGGGTTTGCCTGATCGTGGGGTTTTGAAGATTGTCTTTTTCTTAAGAACTTATTCTCTTGCTGTAGCGGAAACTAAATTCATATTTTCTTATTTGTTTTACAGTAACATTTCTCCAATTTGTTTGTGTGGACTTTTGGTGAAAGGGTTTCTTGATTCTTTTGTTATTTGTTGCAGAAAGTTGTTTCCTGAATATATTTACGTTTGAATGCTCTTACCTTAGTTTGGAAATTTTGATTTTGAACATATTCCTACCTGTATAATAAATGTGCTACCATTAGGGCTTGGTTTTCCCCTACTCTAGAAAGAGGCGGTGGGGTGGGGTGGGGGGGGGGGGGGGGGGGCCCAAATTTGAATGTATATACGGAGAAGCCGACTCCAACTAATTGTGGTTCATTATCTTTTGCGAACTTGGACACTTAATGAATTTAGTTGGTGTGTTCAGTGAGTTGTAGTTATATACGCAATTCATAACTTCAGATTCTTGGTGTCAAGTTGTTTGTTGCTGTTTGTCCTTTTGTAGTTATAATTCTTAAATGTCTTCATTTGTCCCCTTTTTGTCAATTCCTCGAGGAAATGAGAGAATCTGGACTTGTTTTGATATGGAGAGTTAGATGACTGGCATCCAAAACTTTGACTTTCGCGTTTACCCCTCTGCATGTATGTTTCGGTTTTGAAGTGTAACATGTAATTTTTGTATGGGTTATTTACATCGATTTACCCGTGATGCTTAGCTAAGCTTTTCAAATGAAAAGGATGGTTATACCCTCTTCTCCAATGTGCTTAACAAGAACCTTAAACAATTCAATGGCTGAAAGCAGAAAACTGCCACCACGGTCGTTTGAGCCACCACTTACATCACCATCTTTTGCCTTTCATTTCTTTTTCTCCCATCCCCATTTTTCTTGTAGTCTGATGTCTTCTTTCTTCCTTCTTGCTTTCTCCGTATATCATCACCACCAAAAGGAAAAGCAGTATGTAGATTATAAACAGGAAGACACTTATGACATCCCAAATACTCCTTCAATGGGCTAACTTACATATTTATGTACATTTGAATCAATTATATATCGTATTTAGATTTGGAAAGGGGAGACGAATACGAGGAGTGAGAAGAATGTGTGGATAAAGCTTCTTATATTAAAATTTGAAACGGTTTATATTTGGATTACCAATCCCCCTTCCTTGTTCTTTTAGAATCGGAACGTCCGTTTCAGGTTTGAATTTGTTCATTTGTAAACTTGGTCATCGGGCTTCATTTTTACATATGCTAATGATGGAGTGGTTAATGGTGGTCGTTAATTACTAATGTTGGTGAAATTTCGTGACACGTGAGGGTGAGAAGGAAAAAAAATGAGATAACTGAGAAGAAAGAGGGAAAATAAAAACAATGCGAAAAATGAAAGTGAAAAGATAACTGAAAAAAGGACAGAAAAGAAAATAAGAATACGATTTTAACTGAAATAAATAATTGTCCGAATAAATTCATAGTAATAATATAAGATGTGACTTCATATGGTTTTAGAATTAGTGCTAATTATTTATTATTTAATAACAACTAAATCTAAGGATCATGCAATAATTGGTAATTTCTTGTAATAGTCCAACTTTATATGTTATTACAACGCAGCCCTCTAAGCTTGTCATACTGAAAAGTATATATTGATCCATAAAAGATGAGCTTTTGGGCTGAGGCAATTTTTTTCTTTTAGAAGTTAGAATGACACTGAGAAAGGCTTGTACTGTAGGAATGTCTTTTAGTGTACTCCATATGTAGAATCATGAATGCTTCTTATGTATATTTTCGACATAGAAAGCATGTAATATAATGATTTGAAAAAGTTGGCCTTATCTGGATAGGAAAAAAGAGTTGCGGCTTTAGTTTTCCAAAATATCTTGTTTACGTGATATAAATAGATGTGGTTGTGAAGTTGCATATTTTGAGTGTATGATATATGATTGTTCCAACATTTTTGCAGTTGCGTGAAAAAATAACATGAAATATCTTTTTTTTAATGCTGTATAGGAGCTCAAACGGATGTTTGCTTTTCAGATAGCCTCACAACAGACTTAACTGTAAGAAAACAGGCTGCACTGTCATGGATATAGATCTTAGATTGCATTCTGGAGAACAAGATAAGGAAGTAGAAGAAACTAACGGGATTGTTGTCATGCTAGACGGGGAAGAAAAACCCCTCAATATAGAGGGAAGTGTGGAAGATATTGAGGAGAAGTTGCACATTGAAGACGAAGAGGAAGTTGGCTCTCCCCTAAATGACATAGATTTTAAAGACGTGACAATTCTTGAGCCACTTCCAGGTATGGAATTTGGATCGCACGGCGATGCATATGCTTTCTATCAGGAATATGCTCGATCTGTCGGATTTAGTACTGCAATCCAAAACAGCCGCAGATCGAAAACATCGAGAGAATTCATTGATGCGAAATTTGCATGCTCTAGATATGGCACAAAGCGTGAGTACGAGAAATCTTTAAACCGTCCACGTAGTAGGCAAGGAGCCAATCAGGATGCGGAGAATGCTACGGGGCGAAGAGCATGTGCCAAGACAGATTGCAAAGCAAGCATGCATGTTAAGAGAAGATCCGATGGGAAATGGATAATACATAGATTTGAGAAAGAGCATAACCATGAGTTATTACCTGCCCAAGCTGTAAGCGAACAGACAAGAAGGATGTACGCTGCAATGGCGAGACAGTTTGCTGAATATAAAAGTGCGGTTGGTCTTAAACACGACCCAAGAAGTCAATTTGAGAAGGCCAGGAATACGGCATTGGATGCTGGAGATGTGAATATTTTGCTCGAGTTTTTCGTCCAGATGCAGAGGCTGAACTCTAACTTCTTTTATGCAGTAGATGCCGGTGAAGACCAACGCCTGAAGAATTTTTTGTGGGTAGATGCTAAAAGCAGGCATGATTACGCCAGTTTTAGCGATGTTGTGTCTTTCGATACGAGCTATGTAAGAAACAAGTACAAAATGCCGTTAGCTCTCTTTGTTGGGGTCAATCAGCACTATCAGTTCATGTTGCTTGGATGTGCGTTGATATGTGACGAAAATGCAGGCACATATTCGTGGGTGATGCAGACATGGTTGAAAGCAATGGGCGGTCAAGCTCCGAAAATTATCATCACTGACCAAGACGAGGCTATGAAGTCTGTAATATCCGATGTTTTTCCGTCGGCTCTTCATTTTTTCTGTTTGTGGAACATCACGGGGAAAGTTTCAGAAACATTGAGCCATGTAATAAAGCAGAATGAGAAATTCATGTTGAAATTTGAAAAATGTGTTTACAGATCGTGGACCGATGATGAGTTTGAAAAGAGGTGGCATAAACTGGTGGAAAGATTTGAGCTACAAGAAAATGAGTTGATCCAGTCATTGTACGAAGATCGTGAAAAGTGGGTGCCTAACTTTATGAAAGATGGGTTCTTAGCTGGGATGTCTACAGGTGTACGATCGGAGAGTGTGAACTCTTTCTTCGACAAGTATGTACATAAAAAGACCACCGTGCAAGAGTTTTTAAAACAATACGAAACAATTTTGCAAGATAGGTATGAAGAGGAAGCGAAAGCATCTTCCGATACATGGAATAAACCACCCGTTTTGAAGTCTCCTTCGCCATTTGAGAAGCATGTGGCTGGGCTTTATACACATGCCGTTTTTCGGAAATTTCAAGTCGAGGTTTTGGGGGCGGTGGCTTGTATTCCTAAACGAGAGGAACAAGTTGATGCCACCGTTACTTTTAAAGTTCAAGATTTTGAGACGAGTCGAGAATTTGTTGTCACGTTGAACGAAATGAAATCTGAAATTTCCTGCATTTGCCGATTATTTGAGTTCAAAGGTTTTCTATGTAGGCATGCAATGATTGTTCTTCAAATCTGCGGTATTTCGACGATTCCTATGCAGTATATTTTGAAAAGATGGACCAAAGATGCTAAGAGTAGATACTCTATGGGAGAAGGGTCTGAAATGGCGCAGACGAGGCTGCAACGGTACAATGATCTTTGTCAAAAGGCGATAAAATTGGGTGAAGAAGGATCGTTATCGCAGGAGAGTTATAATATGACACTTCGCGCACTTGAGGATGCTTTTGAGAATTGTTTGAATGCTAACAACTGCAATAGGAATCTTCTAGAAGCTGGACCTTCAGCCTCGCCGGGTATTCTGTGTATCGAAGAAGATATTCAGAGTGGAAGTTTGAGCAAGACAAATAAGAAGAAGAATAATACTACGACTAAGAAAAGAAAGGTTTGTCTCGGCTCGAAGTGGCATATTCTGTTTTTTATGCTCTCCTTTCTTATAACTGATATGTTATCGGATCTTGCAGGTAAATATGGAGCAAGATGTTATAACAGTTGGTGCAACAGAAAGCATGCAACAAATGGTTTGTCCCTTCATCATCTCAGATGTATATATTTTATGTTTCAACCTAAAGGAGTATTAGCTGATATTAATCTGCTTTTTCAGAAAAAAAAAATGTTGGAGATATAAATATCAAATTATTCATCTCACTTGCAGCTTAAACTTTTGGTTGAGGTGGTCATTAACAAAAATACGTTAGTAGCAAATATTGTCTACATAAATAAGACTCCGTGTACTTGACCTGAAATTAGAAAACGCAGCATTTTGTCAGCTCATAGTATCTGCAAGATAGAAACAGTGTTTGTTTTTGCTAAATCAAATGATGTTTTGTAGGAGAAACTGAGCTCTTCTCGACCAGTCAATCTTGATGGATTTTTTGGTCCTCAACAAAGTGTCCAAGGAATGGTAAGAAATCTAGCCAAAGTCATGTACGATGATCGAGCTTTGAACTCCTCTCTATTCACAAATTGCGGTCTTGTGTTTTTTCTAAGGTACAACTTAACTTAATGGGTCCTGCACGCGATAATTACTATGGGAACCAGCAGACCATTCAGGGACTGGTATGTCATCTAATCATGACTATCAGTACAATTAATTACCGAGGCCTTGTTTGCGAATATTGATAGGATTGATTGCATTGAATGTGATTACATTGTCCATGGTAATGTGATACGCGATTATCTCATGTTTGTGATTTATGATATACAATCCTCGTATTGGGTAATAATAAGGGCGGATGTTGGACTAAATATCATTCATATGCATGATTTAATCTGGGCCCGTATTTAGTCATGGGCTGCAAACCTAAACCTCAACCATTTCACACACCTTGATTATATTGTCGACCAAGTTCTATCCTTATTCCGACAGAGGCCTAACTGTACTATAAGTACTTGTGTGATAATTTAATTCTCATGTTATATGATCTTCTGTAGGGCCAGTTGAACTCTATTGCACCCACCCACGACGGTTATTACGGCACTCAACCAGCCATACATGGACTGGTATTTGGTTTTTCGTTATCCTTTTGTTTGTTTTTCTATTTTTTTTCTTGACTATTCAATATAATTTTAATTTGTTAGCAAAAATGTCCACCGTTTTCATTCTTTAAGGGGCAAATGGATTTTTTCCGCACTCCAAGTTTCGGATACGGTATTCGGGTTAGTTTCCCATACGACAGAAGTTGATAATAATGTATTTTATTTCTTTTGCTAATTTGCAGCTTATTTATTTATTATTATTATTGCTCCGTTGGCAGGAGGATCCAAACGTGAGACCTGCACAGTTGCACGATGACGCAACAAGACATGCTTGAGAACTATCTTCCTCGACTATTAAGGTTTGACTCTATCTTGTTATGGTCCGAATGTTTTTGTTCAATTGTTGTCTATATATATATATATATATATATATATATATATATATATATATATATAAAACTGACATATTATTTACTTTGTTCTGCAGAAGAGTTGTGGAATAGAGTTATCGGTGACTTAATGTTAATACAAGATTAGTATATCCTGAGTGAAAAGAATTGCCAGAGAAGATTATTTATCTCTTCGTTCCGTTTGGTGGTAGTGAATGAATCATGTGTTATTGTGATTTAATGTTGTAGTTGATTTTAGCTGTGTATTACTAGTTAATTCATCATGGTAATTAGGAACCCGAAAATGAGAGAAAATTGTTTTGAAGTATAATTAAGAATGTGGTTGTTTGTTGTGAAAACTAGAAAGGTATATGCAAGAAATAGAAATAGAATGCTTTGTCCAAGTTCAGTGTTTTTGCTGTCTCATATTATTAGTCCCTACTTCATCATTTTAGGTAATTATTAATTACTAATTGTTCATTAATTTAATTGATTATAATTAGCGAAACAAAGAGGAATGGTATTACATCAATTATATTATACTTAATAATCATAAGTAATCAATATATTAAGTAGTATTTATTATATGAAAAATTACAAATACTAATCTGATGAAAAATTAATGACTGTCTGAGGGCCTTTTCCTTAGTTGGCACCATAACCCATTCTTGGTGTGAATGGTTGCTCCTGTAACCAGTTCCACAGAATCTGGAGATCCTCTTAGGTTTACATCAAATTTCTGTAATAACATTGCCAGCGCTACAGTCGATTCCATGAGGGCAAACTGGTCACCGACACATTTTCTCGGCCCTCCACCGAAAGGCAAGAAGGCAAAATCCGATATAACCTATAAATTACATCAACATAAGATGTCCAAAAACAAATTTCAATAGAGTTTTACTTAAGGGAGTTCAAACTTATCTCTTACATGCACAATACTTCAGCATTCTTATGTGGTTAGTGCGTGTACTAAACTTGGATCACAAAATCTTTTTATCTACTAAAAGTAAATTCATTAAAATTCAAGTAGTATAGTAATTACCTCGTTTGGGTACAATGCTCCTGGGCTGCGAGATGGATCGAAACCAGCCCAACCTTCAACCTCGCTCGATTTTTGCACTTGGAATCTCTCAGGCTCAAAGTCGTTGGGGTTGTCCCAAAAATACGGAGATCTATGGAGATTGTATACCTGATGCAATGAATTTAAGAATACTCGTTTTAATAGGTGTTTATATTTATTAAAAAATTGTAAGCATTTTAATGATGGCAGCACTCAACAAATATTTCACTGTAGCTTTATTGATGTTATAAGCACTTATTCACCAACTTGTATTTTATGCTTTTTTTTTTTTTTTTGCCCTATATACGTATTGATGTATCTATATAATAGTTTTCAAAAGAAAGAAATGCATACAGAAATAAATATATCACTCCCAGCTGGGATCGAATATCCATCTTTGTCGCCATTGTAACCACCTGCAGTATGAGCAAAAATTAAAACTAATGCCAATCTAGAAATTCCGTTGACCAAATAAAATCGGATGGTAGTTACTTATCTTGATTTTTGTAGTAACAGATATAAGTACCTGGTAGTTTATCTGGTTTGAGAGATCGTCTAATGAGCAATGGAGGTTGTGGGAACAGACGGAGAGATTCCACAACAATAAGTCTCAAGTACCTGAAAACGGTCAACAAATTATGAATAACTCGTAATTATATTTCAACTACTTTTAATAATTAAATAATCTTTAATAAGTAGAAGAGAAAGCTCGTCTGTTGGAATGTTGGAATTTTATCAAGAGCTTTGTAACTTACTCTAGTTTCTTTATTGATTCAAATGTTGTTCTCCCCTGTCCGAGCACCGAATCAATCTCTGCCTGTGCTTTCTTCATCTTTGCCGGATTCTGCATTACATAAATTAATTTTGCTATATATATTACAACTCAGAATAATAATTGAAAGCAGGAACCTCGATTAATCCCTGTTTTCCAAGAACTAAATAAATCAGTATTTAGTAAAAATGAATTCTGGATGAAAAAATACCATACTTGTGCAAGAAGGAAAACAGCCCAGGTAAGAACAGCCGCTGTTGTTTCATGTCCGGCAATAAGCATCGTCATTAGGTCATCTCTTAGCTAAAAAAGACAGCATCTCACTATTAATAACCACAAACAACCTTGTCAAATATATTCTATACAATCTCAAATGGTAATATCTAAAAAATACATGGGCATGATCTCAAAATACGAAACGAAAACCTCCTTTTTTTCATAGAATTACATAGATGGATAGGGATATTGGATTCTTTACCTGACGATCATCAGCATCTACTCCTCTCATATCAACTAAAAAGCGCAAGAGACTTGCATCCTGCAAACTTTTCAGTTACACTGCCAAAACTCACTTCACTTGTCTTAAAAGAAAGTAAAAAAAGCAAAATTTATATTCTACTCTTTTGAATTGAAAAATAGTCGAAACTCTGTTGTCTTTGTAAGGCGCTAGATGTAGCATACCTTGATATTTAAGTAGTCCCTTTGTTGCAATTTCTCAACATCGGCTTCCTGCAAAAAAAAATTGTAAATAAAATAAGCACAAAAACTATGCACAAGCAGAAATATATTTAGCTTGTGATTCTATTATTTGCCATTTTAGCTGTATATTGTCTCACCTCTCTGGTCTCTTTTGCATTTTGTATCAGACCATCAAGACAATCATTGATGACTTTAAGGTCATTCTGGAACTTTCGCTGTCGAGGAACAAGCCAATTTGCTAAAGGGATTTTCCAGTAAGGAATGTAGAATGTCGAACGATGCTCAGCTTCAAAAAGAGTACCATATACAGCCTGCATGTAAAATATAAAGCATCCAACAATCTAGTTAATAGTGCTCAAATTAACCAATAAAACTGAGATTCGTAAAAAGTTCATACTATAGAGTTCCGTATATAGTTAATGGTTCGTGTATCACAATATGACTGCCAACTTTAACGATTATAATTTGAAAGGGAACTGTCTAAGCGTACCTTAATAACTGGGGATTCTTTGGAGACAGAACCAAAGTCATAATTAAAGACGCCAAGTCCAATAATATCAAGAGCCAAACTAGAAAATTCGGCTTCTAGATCTAACTCTATTTTATTCTCTCCTTTTGAAGCCATTTCATCTAAAATGTTATCAAACTTCTTTGTCATTCTCACAGAGCAGTCAGTGAACACTTTAGCCATAGCTTCCAAGTAAAGCGAGTGGAATCCAGGAGCAATGACTGCAATTCGAATATGGTGAGATAAAATAAACGAATTAAAAGGGATTTACACATAAAAGTAAATGAATTGTTCAAGCAATAATAAAGTAGCTTGCCTCTTCTCCTCTGTTTCCAAGTGTCGAGGTCGGCAGGTATGAGTCCTTTTCCCATTATTGGTTCCAATATATCAGCAAGAACACCCTAAGATAATGTTTGTTGGGACTGCCGTCAGAATATACTTTCATGAAAAACAGATAACAGAAGTTATAATCTCGATCAAAAAAATCATTATCGTTAGTGAAATAAGCTTCTTGAAAAATGTTTTAGAGGGCATGTTTTCTTTGCTTCGGAATTTTTTGTGCTGTTACAGGCATGATAACCATATTCCAACATGCAGCCAATTCAAAGCAGTCAAGATTATATATTTGAATTCTCCATTTTTTTTTTCTGGAGTGTCAGTGTGACAACATTGACTAGGAATTCCAAATATGCGTTTTCTTTGTCACCCCTAAAAGACGGGATTACAAATTTACAATTGTAATCTTAAATTCATAAACTACAATCCAGAACAAAGTTGATTAGGGGTTATCGAAAACTCACATTCATTCCCTAAAATCTTTTCATCTTCTGCAAATGGTGAATATATTTTGCTTCTTCAGATATTGATATTCACTACTCTAATATAGAACAATTCCCTAGAAAGAGATTAACAGGATTTCAGACACAAACATACCTTGTCATAGGAAAATGCATTTTCACGAAGAATGTATCTTGCAACAATGGGATCTGAAACAACAATAAATGCTTTCGGTCCAAAAGCAAGTTTATATACTGACCCATGCTGCAAAGTCCAACCAAAATTAATTAACAGTGAATGACAAACAAAAGATACTAACAATGAAGCATAAATTGATCTGCGAGACTACAGAGTAATGAAAGCAAAATTAGGAGCTGCAGATATGGAAAATTAATCTTTCGTTTTAAGAGGCTAAATTTCGAAAATAGTCATTCAGTCAAATGATTGACCTTTGTTTTGCATTTGAACAGACAAAGAAATAAGTTAAGACATCTCCTAACATTGTATACCAAATTTTTATAACCAGCATAGCGAATAAAAAAAACACGAAATAGCGCATAAAGATGTACCTCTATAAACCAATCGTAAAGTGAGAAGAAAAGTGGCTTGCCGAAAAGATCCGAAACTGCACCTTCAGCAATTGGCATAGGTCCTATATTTCCTCCACTCAAGAAATTGGTAAGGAAATTGCTTGCATTGTCTAGTAAGGTCATTTTTTTAGCTGCTTTGGTTTCATCGGTACTCGTAGATGACTGGCACCTGCATTCAGTAAAAAAAATATCACTGCTAGACGAAAATCTCCAACGAGACCTTATCAAATTCTATCAAATTAATTATTAAATATTATCACTACATTCATTGCGCTTCTACCTGCAAGTGCGCGTTCTTCGTTTACTATATATAAGTCGATTTTTCGCTATTTTTTTCCAGTGACGACTTAAAATTTTCGTCAATTTGTTTAAGTATTTGAACAGTATTCAACAACCAATAGGATCTGAAAGTCTTATGACATCGAAATTGTAAAATAATGAATATAAGAAACTCGTAAATCGACTATTCATTGTCAACTTCATAGAACAAGCTATACACAACAAGAAAAGGACAATTTAAACGGAGAGTACTACAAGTCTACAATGCTTTCTGATACAGCAAAGCCTCTAGCAAGAGAATCAAAGGTTTCAAACAACAATATAATTAGCCAAGACAATAGGATCCGCTCATTCGCCAAATAAACAAAAATCAATGCCGAACGAATGAACTCGGGAACAAAACGACTTAGGGATGAAAATGGAATCAGCATATCATAGTAATTAATATCTTCATCCGCAGAATTTAACAATTGGAATCAAAATTAGAATCAGAATCACTTCCAATTAAACTCAAAATAGCCGATTCACAAATGTAATTCTCTATTCCACCATCACCTTTTGAGAGGAGGGCAAAATACAAAATTATTCCCATTTTCGACACGAATTATCGCACCAAATTCAAATTTACCCAGAGAAAAATTAAAACTTTGAAAAAAAAATACCTGATTGAAGAAAATCTAGGGTTACAGCGCCCTGAAAATGGAGAAGCAGAAGGAGGAAGACGAGAGGAGGAAAAATCATTGGAAAATTTAACCGCAAGGCATGGATAACTACTAGAGCAGATATTCACAGCAGACGCCATAGCTCAACCAGCTTAGCTGCTTCTTCTTCAAAACAATCAACGAAAAAAAAAATTGTTGTTCGGTGGGAATTGGAAGATGAAGAAGAAGAAATCCCACTCAGAAAAATAAATAAATAAATAAAGATTGAATTTTTATATTCATAAATTACGGAGTTCGCCACTCAGAGATGTCTGCTATCCATATAGAGTCAGATAATACTATAAACCATACTGTAACCGCTCACACTTTCGTCATGTCTCTCTATTTTTATATTGACTATTTGGTCCTCACTGAAAATTAAAATTACAAATTGAGGTCGGTAATTTTTAATAATTTTATTTTTTTTGAACTTTTTTTGGTTATCTGTATATGTTATTAAAATTAAATTTAAACAGTTAATTTGTAAGATAATGTGTAAAACATCCTTAAAATTTGACACCGAAATTTCGGGATAAATTACCAATTAATCGCTAATTACTCAGTTATTAATTTGGGTCTCGAATCTATGTCCATAGCATATTTGGGCTTTGCGAATGGATTAATTTTTAAATAAGTAATAAATTCTTATTTTATGGATTATCTAATTGGCACAAATCTGGCTCAATAAATTAAATGGTGGGTATTCAAATCTATTGGCCCATGCAAATTCAAACTCACATAGACACATGTCGAGTTTTCAAGCTTAAGCCTCGAGTTTCCACTGCGAATTCATAATATATTTGAATGCGGTGCTTGTGACATGAAATGATTCGTTCGATTCAAGAACTAACTTTTAAGCCCTTGAATCGGTTTAGGAGAGAAGAATCATAAATTATTCAGAGATTGTAATCCATTTTCGTTTTGATTAATAGATTTTATTGTTTCCCATTTTTTCTTGTCTCCTATAATTTGTTTTTTTACATACATTCAATAAAATTACATGCGCTTTCACATTTATTATGTGTAACAACATATATCTATTTATAGAGATACAAAAGTAACACACATTATAATGTGATGATGTACATCCACGTTTCAAGAAGGAAGTAGATAGCCATTCATTGATGTATATATCTACTAAAATAAATTTATTTAAATAACTATTTCAATTTTTATAATGAATCGCCAATGTTAAGTGGACTCAATTGAGTGGAGAGCTTAGTGGACTCAATCAAACTTAACAAGTTAATATTTGCTCGTTCGGTTATCACTATAAAGTTCTATTATGTCAGACTAATAATTTTTAATACGACATTATCTTACGAACCAAATATTTCACAGAATAATTAATTAATTAATTAGTTAGTATAAAATTAATTCAATAATCTAATATGATGATGTAAATAATCGAATGAGCCAAGAACTAAATTTCCACTACAAGTCAAACTGAAATACTAAAACAATGACCACTAATTTTATCCTATAATATAATATTATGATCTTATATGTCATCCATTGATGGACTAAATTTGGAAAATAGGAAATGATATGGGCTCAATTGCACTAAAGCTCAAATTAAAATTTTTTTTAACATGAAAGCCCAATAAGGTAATTCGGGCTAAATCTTACTTTGTCCACTAACATTCAATAGAGCATGTCGCTAATTGGAAGAAGACGTAGACAGTGACTACATTCCGTCTAATGTCAGAAATAAAGGCAGACTGCAGTACGACATGGACCATGAAGATGTCCACTTATGATATAATCAGGAGCGACTACACCAGCGAGCTCTCTTTATTAGTCTGACCTAGATCGCAGAGAGCAAGGTAACTCGTTTTCAGCAGACAAACACAACTCATAGTAGTCACACCACTCCCACGTGTAATCTGACCAAAGGCAGAACGGACGACCCACCACCCCATCTCTACGATATGTATAAATACAATCTTGGAGCGCAAGGAATGACGACTCTTTTGGGTATACCTAAATAGCACATTCTAATTATATTTTTCTAAATTGTTTTTCCACGATTCCGACTAACTTGATCGTCGGAGTGCTAATGTCGGAAAAGCCCTCCCCCGACACTTCTTTCTGCAGGTCTCTCAGAGCACATCGGCTCCTTCTTATTTGGACATTTCCCATTTCAGGTCACTCCACTTCTTCAATTCGTGATTGAACCATTTATGCTACATCATAAAATTTACCAAAATGCCCCAATTCAACAATCGATATCGAGTTACCGAACTAACGCTAGGATTAGTTATTGATTCCCCAATTCCTCTTCTGATATCTCAAACCTATAACCAAATAAATTCTACGTGCAAGATACTTACCAACAAACTATCTTGTATTGACTTAATTTATTTACCGAACACCCAATTAGATCGAAGCAAATATTGTTCACCATGTCATTTCTTCATTAAATATTCACACCCACAAAGTAGTTAAAAATTACACATATCTTGACCAAATTGAATTAATGCATATTCTCAACGTGCTCAATAAGCTGTCTTTATTAATTATTATTCACATTACGACCTGCCACGATGCTTCCTTTGTGACCATTTTATACATATATTTATTAAGATAATTTTCGGTGCCATTTTATTTGTTTTTTAGTCAATAAAAGAAATTTAAAAAAAAAAATCTTATTATTTTTTGATTTAATTAAAACTCCAATACATAATTAATTTTCTTTAATCATCAATTAGCAAGCTAGACAGAAGAATGTAGGAGTATATCATATTCATTTAATAGTATGTGTAAATCATGAAGGAACATTTGGGTTTTTTTGTCAAAATAAAAGTTATTTCTTGAGTTTTTTAAATTATTGTCCAACATATGTTTTGTCTCACTTTAGTCCCTCTTCTTTTAAATGTACCATAATAGTCCCTTAAATATACTAATATTGCATCGGTAGTCCCTAGATTTCTAAGCATTTCCTTAATAACTACTGGGATCAAACCTCATTATATAGTCCTCCAGTTTTAAATTTTATTCTACTTCAATCCATATTTCTTTTACTCATCACCTTTGGAATAATATTTTTCATTCTAATTTTTTAAATTTCGATTATCGGATTTTTTTTGGAATAACATAATTGGAATTAGTTTTTCTCTTCCGAAAATAAAATTAAGAAACCCTAGCTCTAGTATATTTATTTATTCTGATTTATGTGTACGTTTTGGACATTATTTAGAAATAAATACATGATAAATTAAAACCACTCCTGAGGTAATATCTAATTACGAAAAAACCCTTTGGCTATGTTTGGTAACCTCCTCAAATTCTTTTCATTCTTTTCCCAGACTAAAATTATGATAATTATCTTTCTGAAATATTTTCAAAAACGTTCCATAAAATGAATTCAAATTTTTGTCTCTTTAACAAACATGATTTGACTGCTACAGTGAAAATTGTCTCCACTAAATTATAAACTAAAATCACTTTATCCTTCAAATTCTTCTTCTAAAATACATTTTTCCAACACCTTCTAGACATAATTTGACTTGCTACAATGCAAATTGTCTACTTTCTTCTACACAGAAATAAACTTTATTTTATTTTCAAATTATTCTCCCGAAACATCTTTCTCCAGAATAAAATGGAAATTGAAGCCCAAAAGCTTACCAAACATAGCCTTTATGTTTGGTAATTATAACAACCCCTCAACCATGTATCTTTTTACGTGTCAAATTCAACGTAATCTTCTAGATTCTGTGAAAAAATGCAATTTCTGATGCACCGCAATCTAATATACACAAGCCAAAAAATATTTCTTATGATCATATTGCTTCAAAACGTGGAGTTCGAATGGAATAAAACGGGTACAAAATTGAGAATATTCCATATAATCTATAAGATTCCACTAAATTTGACACCGCAAGGGTGAACGTGTAAGAAGATTAAAAGTTGGGGAGGTGGTTGTAATTACTCAAACAGGAGGGGTGACCGTAATTTACCAATTTATTATCAACCAATCGTCTCCCAAGTCAATGGTCTCCAAGAAGAAAAGTATAAGTGATGACGTGTCAACGACGTCATTGCTTGCATCGGCGGCGACTGGGGATGAGTTGCTTCCCGGAAGCAACACGGCCACCTTCCAGAAACCCTACCAAACATTTTACGAAGACCATCTATATATTTTTTAAATGTTTTTTTTATATATTATAAATTACTATTTTAGGAGTCTTTTATTTGACTAGCTAAGGTTACTTTTGTCTTTTACATGGATCATGCTATATAATTGAGGTCTTCATATATCCTAATTATTTTGTATAAAAATATATATATATATATATATATATATATGTAGTTTTGTAATATTGATATTAATTTTAATTGTTGTGTGTATATGTGAGTTAAACCACTTGAATTAATTATATTCTTCAAGAAAATGCATAACTTACTTCACAATCAATGAAGAATGAAATTTAAAGAGGAATAGGAACATGTCTCCTTTTTTCATATCAATAGGGCCAAAAGAATCTTAATTAATATATTTAAATAATTATTGAAAATTCCAAATAATTAGTATAAACAAAAACATAATTAACAAAATATAACAAGTCAAGAAACCTCAAATTTTATCCTCGTTTGAAAATTTTAGTGACATGACATCACTAATAACTATAGTGAGAGCTAGCATAATAAATATCATGTTATTTATTAATTAAACTTATATTATTTCTAGGAATTTATTTATACAAGTTATTATTATTATTTGGCTAAATAGCACTTAAGCCCCACGTGGTTAAAAACTTTTATAGATGGCCCCTTTTGCTTGTATTATTAGCTCATAATTCCCTTGTGGTTGACGGTGGCGGTGTTGGTTAGTTTTTCTATCAAACTTAAGCAGGGAATCATCTGCAAAAGAAGTAGTATTTGACGTTTGAGGCACGCATGGTTAATTTTGACGGAAAGAACTATGAAACGCTAACCGCATGGAAGTTATGTGCTGATATTACGAATATAAGAGGGTCATTTTGCAAAAGCTTATAACCACAAGGGTTTAAGTGCTATTTACCCTATTTTTTTTCTTGACAAAGACCAAGGCTAAATTAGTGAGTCCTCCACTATATAAGTATCTCCAACCCTATGTCACTATACTTTTTTATTTCTTTCCTTAGACAATTTACTAATCACACTACCAAATTAAAATACATTTCACCAAAATTCATCTTGATTTCTATATGGCCATTAGCCAAACCATGTCCAACCCTAGCGATAATTGGATGTTGCAATACCAAACCGAATTTTCCGGCATCGGCCAAACCGAAGTCCCTCCAACCACCGCCGCCGCCGCAGCGGCGGCGGCGAGGGTTAACAACCTGAGCCCCGACCAAGGCCGAGTGGCGAAGCCCATCCGGCGGCGTTCGAGGGCTTCCCGTCGAACCCCAACCACCCTCCTCAACACAGACGCAACCAACTTCAGGGCCATGGTCCAGCAGTTCACCGGAGGCCCCGCCGCCTCATTCGCCGCCAGGCCTCAGATCCCAAGCAGCGGCGGCGCCGCCCTCAATTATATTGAGCATGCCACTAATATGGATCCGGCACGTGGGTTTCGCGTGCAGTACCCGAATCCGAACCAACAGCAGCAGCAGCACATGTTCTTGATGGATAGCATGCACGGTGGCGGTGGTTTACCGGCGGCGCCGCCGGGGAATGCTTCTGAGAATGATCATCAGAACCGGAATTATCACAACTACATGCGATTTGATCAATGAGAATTAGAGAGAGTAAAAAAAAAATTCTCAATTAAAAAAATAAAAATAAAAAAGTTTGGTAAGGTGCTGACTTTTCCATTTTTTTTTCTTTTTTTTCCCTATAGGGTTGTAAATTAATTTCTTCTTTTCACACGTGTGTACACGTGACACCCCATTTCTTGTTAATTAGTTAAAAAACCATAGCTTCTTTGTTTGACCTGTTGGAGTTATTTTCACTTTGTTTGGAATTTCGTCCTTGTAAGAAAAAAATGAACAATTATATTATTTTCGATGCTTTTAATATATATATATATATTAACTCTATATATATAGGGATCTCCTAATTTTCTTTTATGCATTTTCTTTAATCTTTTGTTTTGGCCCAAATAATTATGAAACGCTGCCGTTCCCAATATTCCCACCAATCAGCCGTTCTTATTGTTTTCTTTTCTCTTTATTTTTGAAGTAGCTTGACCACGACGCGTGGATATATATATATATTTTGATAAATTACGGCTAACTCTGAAAGTAAGATTAAATTATGGAAAAAGTAAAAACTCATCTTATTTGGGTAATTACAATCACCCCTCAAATATGAATTTCTTTACACGTCCACATTTTTTGTGCTAAATTTAGCGGAATCTTCTAGATTATGTAGAATATTGTCCAGTTTGTACCCGGTTTACCCCATTTGAGCTCCACATTTGAAACAAGATGATCATAAAATATGTCTCTTGTCTTGTAAATATCAGATTACGGTGCATCAGAAAATGTATTTTTTTCACAAAACGAGTATAAATGAATAACATTTCATGGAATGTAGAAGATTATGTTGAATTTTGATATTATAAGGATGGACGTATAAGAAGATTCATAGCTAGAGGGGATGGTTGTGATTACACAAATATGATAGGTTTTTTCGTAATTTGACCTTACCTCGGAATAGCCGTAGTTTATTTTTTCTTTTTTTTTTAGGGAAATGTGGTAAGAAATTAATCATACCACACAACATTCGTTGCAAGTCATAATTCATTGATTCTTCTATCTTATTCTTCCATGTAATGATGTAAGCCCAAAGTTATAAGTTTGAATTTTAATTTTTTTGAACTACAGGGTTATTGGGCTTTTTAGGTTTTAAATTTCATTTTTTGGCCTACAAAAGATAAGCGATGGACTTGTTCGATTATGGCATCATTTATATAAATAAAATAAATTATTACCGACTTTTGAGGTCCCATTCTATTTGGCTAATTACAACCACCGTTCAACTATGAATCTTCTTACACGGTCATCTTATGATGTCGAATTTAAAATAACTTTATAAATTCCGTGGAATGTTCTCTAGTTTGTATTTGTTTATGCGAAAAATGTAGTTTCTAATACACTACAATCTGATATTTACAAGTTAGGAGACACATCTTATGATCATCTTGTTTCAAAATGTGGAGTTCGAATATAGTAACAGGTACAAAGTGGAGAATATTCTACATAATCTAAAAGATTCCGTTAAATTTGACACCGTTTGGACGTGTAAGAAAATTCATAATTGAGGGACTAGATGGTTTTTCGTAATTTGTCCTTACCTCAGGAACGTGGCCGTAATTTACCCATAAAATCGGATGTCGTAAAACATGTACAAACTGGAGAGTATTCCACATAATCTAGAAAATTTCACTAAATTTGACACCGTAAAAATGAACATAGAAGAAAATTTATAGTTGAAGGATAGTTAGAATTACCGATATAAATATGATATTATTAATCAATACATTTTGAAATTATATGACATAATTTAATTAATTGTACTACTATATACGTGCTTATTAGTTTTTTGCTTTAATAATTTTGACAATACATAACATTATTTTAATTTCATACTTACTCTCGTTAAATCTTTTTCCTTGCGAATTGATTGACTTTAGATAAAACAGAAATAATAAAACAATAAGCCACCATTAAATTAAAATTCGAACACAAATTACTTATTGCACGCGTCCCTATGTCGGCTAGGCACACTAGTCCATAAAAAATCTAAATAATAGTGACAAATAAATATGGGGAATAAACCTAATTAAAAGACAAGGTTATATTAGTAATTGAATTAATGGAAATTAGTATTTTGGTAAAATAATCACCTTTTTTTAATTACTAGTAATTTCATTTGCTAATTTCTGAGAACACTAAAAAAAGACCCCCCAGATCCGGACAGTGGGAGTAATTAATATTAATATTTTCCTAAGTAAATAAATAAACAAAATTAATGTTGAATAAGTATTTGAGTGAATATTATTAATACAACTCTTTCGTCATAATATTAATTAATATTAAATAATAAAAAGAAAATAGGGAATATTCCGTTTTTTTTTTGTTATCAAAGCATAGAGAGAGAAAATAATTGCAGAAAACAAAGAGAGAGAGAGAGAGAGAGCGAATGGCCATGGTAGCGATAGGCGAGAACGGTGGCGCGGCCACACCACCGCCTGATCATAGGCAGACCGCCGCCGACGGCGGTAAAACCGACCTCGTTTGTAACTCCCGCGACAGTCCTTCCTCGTCCGACCGCCCGGTTCGTGTTTACGCCGATGGGATCTACGATCTCTTCCATTTCGGCCACGCTCGATCCCTCGAGCAAGCCAAAAAATCGTACGTTTCATGATCTGTTTTTCGGATTTTTTTTTTTCATTTTTTTTTAATTTTAATTCGTGCTCGTTTTCTGTTTTTTTTCCCTGCTATGAAATACGGCGTGCAATTGAAAATTTGTTGTTTACGAGGTGTTTGATTTTATGTCCGTGTGGTGTTATCCCTCTTTCTGAATCGAATTTTGGGAGAATATGTATCGAATTGTTTTTCGTTTTGCTTGTCTTTTCTGTCCTTGAGATCACCCTTGATACGGGAGCTGGGAGCTGAATTTCGGTTTTTATTTTGATTCTTCTGAATTTATTCCGTCTTGTTTCCACTTTTCCAGTGTAATAATTCCATTCACCGGGTGTTTTGTATATTCATTGTTTAGATTGTTATGGGAGTCTCAAATATCATGTTTCAGTTGGGCCTTTGATTAACAATGTCAATCAATTTGATTTTCCCATACGAAATTATGCGTTGATCTGCACCGGTTTGCAAATATCTCTGGATCATGGGTTATTTTTTTTTTCTTCGGAATTTGGAATCGTTTTTGTTCTCGGTGTTCTAATAGTAAATATTTGCTGATGTTGTGATACCCGATGCCGAATATCTATGTAGGTTCCCCAATACGTACTTGCTCGTCGGCTGCTGCAATGATGAGGTCACTCACAAGTTCAAGGGCAAGACCGTTATGACTGAATCGGAGCGTTATGAGTCCCTTCGCCATTGCAAGTTTGTCTCCATTATTTGTACTCTTTTTGTTTGCATGATTCTATGCATTTTTCGTTTGTTTTGTTCGTTCATTGTAGGCAGAGGCAGTTTAGCCACACTTTCTGCATGTTCATTGTTTATTGATGTTGAATTAGATTAGTTTACTGGGTTTTATATTTTGTATGAAAATTTTGAAGTAATCTGATTTTCGAAGGGGTGGGTGGATTGAAGAACTTGACATTGAGCTTCTTTCCTTTGGCAGGTGGGTTGACGAGGTTATTCCTGATGCCCCATGGGTAATTAATCAAGAGTTCCTGGACACGCACCGGATAGATTTTGTTGCTCATGATTCGCTTCCGTAATATTTCTCTATCCATAAATATTTCTCTTACAACAATTTTTTTTTATTAGGTCCATGGAGGTGGTAAAAAGATAAAAGAAGTCGTTAGGTGTTAACCTTTAAGATTGGAAAGATACTTGGCAGTTCCTGCACATAACAATTAGCATTTGAGCATTTTCCTAAGTTAGTATGACCATCCCAATGAAAAGAAGCGGAGTCTATTTATTAACCTTTAAATCTGAAAACATGTGAGCATTTTCCTATGTATATATGACCAGCCATAACGGACATCTTAGACTGCATATCCCGATTAGCATGGTTCTTTAGAAAGAAGAGAACGAGAATGCCATTTTTTTTTTATTTCTGGCACTCTCTACCTCTCAAAATTTATCCGACAGAATTTTTGTAAGAGTTGTTGAATCATATTAATACAATGGAAAGTTTAGATCTCGGATTTGATCAAACCTGATTTATAGTAACCCGTTTCTGGAGTACGTAACCACAGAAGAAAAAAAAAAGAGTCAATAGACCCCACTTCTTTTCATTAATAGAATGATAGATTTAACCTCTCAAAATCTTAGATTCACTAATTCATTAAGCGTATTAAGTGTCGATTATCAACATGGTGCTAATGATTTTTTTCGTTTAGAAATGTTAGAATAGCAATGTAATTGTCGATCCACAAAAGAAAACTGAAACAGATTATTAGTAACCCGGAAGCCGAATTAGGTTTGAAGATGTAAAGGGATGGCCTTGTATCCCCTTGTTTTGGTGTTTTGTGGACCGAGCAAGTAGTATTAAATATAAAAAATATGCTGTTTAAATTCCCAAAACTCTATATTTACACCCCTACCGGGGGCACATAAACCTTATATTGCAGTTATGCTGATACAAGTGGAGCTGGAAACGATGTTTATGAATTTGTAAGCCTAGGATTCTATCTTAAAATCTCTTTCTGATAATCTTCTTTTATATCTTTTCTCCTGTCAGTCTGTGCCCTTTCTTTTCGCACTTTTTTGGCACTTCAAATTGATTATTATAGGTTACCAACTTTTAATCCAGGTCAAAGCTGTGGGAAGATTTAAAGAGACTAAGAGGACTGATGGAATTTCAACGTCTGACATCATCATGCGGATAGTAAAGGACTATAACCAATACGTAATGCGTAATTTGGATCGTGGATATTCAAGAAAGGAGCTTAACCTTAGCTATGTTAAGGTATGATTTTCAAAAATTAAAATTTGCTCTGTCATGAATTGGTTCCTTCGTATGTTACTTCGTCCATTGTTTTGGGTATAGCAACTAGAACATTATAGAGTCTTATGTTCTTTGTAAGGTTGGTGATTTAAGAATTGTTTTCACATCGTCAGGAAAAGCGCCTAAGGGTAAATATGAGACTGAAGAAGCTGCAAGAGAAAGTCAAGGAGCATCAAGAAAAGGTGGGGGAGAAGGTACAGTTTCTTGTGATGGAAATATGGACTTATCCCTTTAAATTAAAAATAAAAAATAAAAAAGAAAATTTACTAATCCAATTTCACTGCATGAATTTACTCTTAATTCTTTATCTTTCAGATACAAACTGTTGCAAAAACAGCTAGCATTCATCACAATATGTGGGTCGAAAATGCTGACCGCTGGGTTGCTGGATTTCTTGAGATGTTTGAAGAAGGTTGTCATAAAATGGTAAGCAGCTTGTGGGCTTGGATATTTTTCGCCTTGTTGACTGTGTTAGACTTTTTAGGTTCATAACTTAGATTAGCCAATATAAGATTATACAATCTTACTAGAACCCAATTGTATAATTGGACTAGGGGATATCCAACATATAAACCAAGATGAGAGTTTGTTTTTTCATGATTGCGGGTCGGCCCGGGAAGTTATGCACTAACCAAACATCGTATAAGACATAGTTTTTTAATTAATCAAGACCTTAAATTACTTACCTGAATAGGCCATACTCTTCTTAAGACCCAAAATAAATAAATAAAAAATCTATACGAAATCCCAAGTTCCAGAATCACCCTCAATTAATGAAAAAAAATCACCTTTTTCTTACTTAATCCGTCACCATTTAAAATACGCATTTCCCTCAGCTTCACATCTATCACAATTGACCATCAACTACTGCCGCTGACCACCACCATTAGCTGTATGCAAAGCTAAATCTCTTATGGAAATCTGTTTTGGTTTTGTGCAGCAATCCCTCTCTCCTTCCTTCTCTCTCTACTTGTACTCATATAAATATAGTCCACAATTCATCGTGTATAAAATCATCGGAAAACAGTTACACATGCAAAAAGAAAAAGGGAAAGCACTGGATTAGTAGTATGCATTATGGAGTTCCTGTCAATGGTTGTCCGATGATTTTTTTGTATGATTTCCGAATTAAAAGTAAAGTTTGAAACATATAAAACTGTGTTGGTATACCATTTTAGGTTGAAAACTCGGTTTCATAGTACAATTTTGCATTTAATTTTCAATTGACTGATTTCTTGACAAACTTTTGTTGGATGGATATCGAACTCAATTGATAAAGTCGGGTTTTCGTTCATCAAGAAAATAGACGTTGTTGGTTCTCTTGGATCTGGAAAAAGAAGCAACAGCCTTTGTATATTAATTGTTGTGTGTTTATTTTATTTTATATAATTAGAGACTATTATATTCCTAGAGTACTAAGGGTATTTTGATAAAGATAGTTATGGTCTTGTAAAGAGTAATTTATTGTCGGAAGCCCCGTTTCTTATTTTCCGTGTTTCTTTTTCATCAGGGGACAGCCATTAGGGATACAATTCAAGAGCGTTTAAGAGGACAACAGGGGAGAGACTTGCTGGGAAATGGCAATGACAGTGACGATGAAGAGTATTATTACGAAAGTGGGGATGAATACTACGATGACGATGAATACTACGACAGTGACGAGAAATAACTTTCCTGTCTGTATATTAAGCCATTAACAATTGTACTATGGCGGCTCGTGTCTCTACCCTCGGTTTGTGTACGAAAGGTATTGTAGAATAGCTAGTAAATTATTTTGTTTGTTTCGTGTTACTGTCCATCACTTGCTAAGCTTTGGTTTGGTGCTTTCGATTTCGTTGCTTCTTTTATTCTTCTTTTTTTTTGGGGTTTTTCGTTTGGTTTTAATTGTCGTCAAGTAGTTTTTACTGGCAGTTAGAGCAGCAATAGATGGACATGTATTGTTTAATTACAGCAAAAATCTATATATTTCATATTTGTGAGAAATAAAGACTTGCTTTATGGGGGACTCTTTGTGCTTGTTAGTCACGCCAAAATTTCTGAGGAAAAAGTTTCTTGTTTTCGTTACGAGCCGCAAACTTGATTATTCATCAAATTTGTTCTTATGCATAGGGGGGTAAAAGAATCTTGTTGAGCCCAACAAATGATTGTTTATGTGCTTGTTCGAACCTTTATCGACACTTGAAAATTGCAATTGAATTGAGCTCGAACAAGGTTCAAACCAAAACGAATACCGGTTGCGCTCCAGCGACTTTGATTTTTTTTTTTTTGTACATTCTTAATTGTATTTGAGTCGAGATCGAATTTGTATTAAAAGGAATGAAGATGTCTATTCATCTTTGATCCGTTGGCTAATGAATCGAGCTCAAACGAGCGTTGTCGTGATTTATCTCGAATCAAGTATGTACACATACGTAAAGGTACATAAAAGATTAGTCTGAGACACGAAAGCCTCGCTTAGTTGGGAGATTATCTAGCCATTATTGATATCCCAATAACTTGTTGGGTGTACTTGCAAATATTATGTTATTACGGTTTATTTAGTATTGCAGCCATATTTTTGTGGACAGTCCAAAGTCCAATAATACAATTGAGTTTCATTAATTGTCGAGACATAAAATAATCGAGTCTTTAAACAAGTACAAACACTTATCTTTTCAACCAAACGAGACATAAAATAATTGAGTCTATAAACAAGTACAAACAAGTACAGGACAAAAAAAGGAGAATGTGTTCAAAGCATTTAGAATTGATCCCTTTCTCAATAAACCAAGAGAAATGCAAAAATAAAGGAATTATATTAGGTAAAAGTTGCTACCAATGAACTATAATTAAGCAAAGCCTTTCTATATATATATATATATATATATATATATATATATATATATATATATATATATATATATATATATATATATATATATATATATTTATATATTTGAATCCCATTGAAATATTCTTACTGTCTCAAATAGTAAAATTCATCAAAATATAGTTAGATATAATATGTTAATCAGAGCTTTCTCACATAAATTGCGATTACGCTATTTCAATTTACATTAACAGCAAACGATCTACAACTTTTATATTTTGTAACTTTCGAGATTTGATTTCGATTACGGTCAAAGGTCGATCATATTGAATCAATTTTCCAATTCGAGACAATAAGATTAATTAAATTTTTTTTTTTTGGATTCAATTAAAACATTGTAAAACAATCATAATAAAATAAATTAATGTGAGATATAGTAATCATATCACAAGTACCAAAAGGAGTGGTGTGGGGATTGGCCTATGGGTCACATCAATAATTAATTCCCAATTGAAAGTCTTTGAGAAGATTCGAATTCATTTTTTCTACGGTTTAGTAAACCCTTTGGTCCCATTTTTCTTTTTTTGTATGACTTTTGCTATTCCCCTTGTGATATTTTTTAGCTACATATGTTGACTTTGACTCTAATATCAATCGTACCTTATTTAATTGGAACAATACTAAAGGGAATCTTCATGCATTATATTATAAAGTCAGGAAAAATACAGTTTTAACCCCGCACATTTGTATCGAATTCACATTTGGTCCATAATTTTCAAAAATATTACACTTTAGTCATTTCCGTCAATTTTTCGCATAAACAAACGGAATCAAACGTGTGGCAATCACTGCCTTAACTGACGGACTAAATTTAAATTGATGAAAATGACAAAAAATATTAAATATTGAAACATGAGAGACCAAATGAGTTTTTTGGAAACTTGAGGGATTAAAACTGTATTTTTCCTATTAAACGTAAGTTGATGCTCATGTTTATCTATCACAAAAAGTAGGCAAAACCTAAAGTTTTTTAAAAAAAAAATTGACAAATTCTTTTTGATTTATTTTGTTATACTAAGAACCAATTTGATTAAGCTTATTTTAACCAAATGATAAACTTTCATATATGATAAGTTATTTTAAGATTGATAAACGGCTAAGTGTTATTCTTTTTACTGTTTTTAAGATCTTAAAAAAAATGTGGGCCATATGTATTTAAAAAAAAAGAATATTATAAGCTCCCCGTCAAATGATTTTTTGAGTTTTTAAATATTTTTGAAAAAAATACCAGACACTTTGGAAGGATTAATAATCTCTTCTACATCCTATAAGATATTTTTAACAACTTATAAGTTCAGCTAAATAGCATCTATGACAGATGACAAAGCAATTTCACTCGTCTATATCTTCTAATTTTATTTATTTATTTATTTATTTCGATTTTTGCCACTTGTATATGGTCCCATGAGTAGTAAGGAAAATTTTCCCAATGAAGAGGAAATTTGTGACATTTGGTCCTTAGGTTGATTTAGGCCATAGAAAAAAAAGAAAGAAAGAAAGAAAAAAACAAATATGCAAGACCTCTGACTTGTCAATTTCTGTATTTAATTGAATACATTTTCTTATTATCTCAAAAAAAAAAAAAAAGAATACATTTTCTTATTGATAAATATAATTAAAGCACTCTGTTTGATAAACTGACTGAATTAGAATGAATTAATTGACATAAATGATGGAAAAAAGTTGGGTGGACGAGTTGACGTGATTAAATATACATCAAATTTAATTACCTTTATAATTAAACTAGCATTTTTTTCAACCGCAATGCACGGGATATTATTCAAAAGTGAAAAAAAATAATCAATTTAATATACGATAAGAAAATAGAGTATACTAACATAGTAAAATTTAATAATGTAGTATAATTCATATTTTATATAATATTATTATTTTCTTACATTCTGAAATATTAAGATTTATAATCCAAATATACAGATTAAAAATCGTATCGAATTTCTATCTTTAACTCGTAAGATTTGAAACATATTGATGAAAAATAGAAAATTGATAATGGTTGAAAATTATAGTTAAAAAATTAGTAGACGAAAAATATTATAAATAAATAATTACAAAAGTACCATAGATGGGATTCTTCGAGATTTAGTTTCAATTTTGATGATTGTTAAAAATTATAGTTAGAAATTAGTAAAGAAAAAAATATATTTAATTACAGAAATACCATTAGGGTTTTTTAGGGTTGCCCAACGTTTCTTTCTTTTATATATAAGATTAATTTCAATTGTAATGTAAATTTAAGTCTTTTGAGAACATATATTTGTTTGATTGATCTCATTCTATAGTATTGGACCACAAACCCATTAATCGGACCCATCCAAATGAAATGCTTAATTTGTGTTGTTTTAGCTGAAATATTAAATGTCGTTTTAATTTTATCAACATTGTTTTGAACTCGAGCGTGATTTAATTTATTAGTTTGATTTTGGTTAAATTCAAAATATAAAAACTGTAGTCTTTTGAGTTAGCTATTTAATCCAATTTAAATCAGATATATTGGATGTGGAGTGATAAAGTTATATGCGTGAATATATTTTGAATTTTTCATAACTTAAAACATCAAAATTGTGTTCACTGATTCATCGATATCTTCCTCACCCGACATCGAATCTTGATGATTCAAGTGAGATTAAGAAACTAACTCAAAGAACTACAAATTCCATGCTTTAGGTTTCGTCAAATCAAAATAAATAAAAATAGTCAAAATCACGTTTACAGTCGAAACAGAGAAATAGGGATACGATCAAATTGAGGATTGTGAATGCTGAAATCCAAATTGTTAAAATGCAAAATTGGATTACTCGTTTCAATTACAACATATGACCGTACCGTACAAACACCTATATAATTAACTGCAGATTCCTTAGTATGAAAAAAAAAAATCAAAAAATAAATAAATTAATGTTACCTAATATGCCAAAAGTGCAATTATTTATTTACATAAAAAACAAACGTGTACTAAAAAACAATTCCCCCCCTTGGAAACAGCGTCACGCGCTTTAGCAGAATGAAGACCAAGCACGTGATATCGACATTATTATATTTGACATTTTGACTTACCTCTCAACAAAAATAATTAAAAATAATTTAATTCAAATTCGTACTATAAATTAATTAATAAATTAATTTCGTCCAGAACTGAAAGTCTACTAGTAAGTACATATGTCGACATTCTTCAAACACTTAATTTTAATTATTTGACTTAATTAATAATTACCGTAATCTCTTCTTCACTAATGTTGTCATTAAGTTTCTCCCCGATCCGTATAAATAGCTACTCACACTTACCCAAATATCCAAAATCAAAACAAATTAAACATTTTTTTTTTAATTCAAATTTTATTATTTAATTTTGTATTAGTCGATTGATCGATCACTGGAAATGTCATTTCCGATTAAGAATCTGTTAATTTGGGCCGCCGCCGTGGTTCTTCTCCCGGCGGCGGTGCTCGGAGACTGCACGTGCGAGGCGGAGGAGGACGGCGGCGAGAGCAAGAGCCTGGCGCTCAAGTACAAGGTGGGGGCGATCGCCGCCATCCTGGTGGCGAGCGCCGTCGGGGTGATGCTGCCGGTGGTCGGGAGGAGGGTTCCGGCGCTGAGTCCGGAGAGGAATTTCTTCTTCGTGATAAAGGCGTTCGCCGCCGGCGTGATTCTGTCGACGGGGTTCATACACGTGTTGCCGGATGCATTCGAGAGTTTGACTTCGCCGTGTATTCCGGCGAGCCCGTGGGGGGATTTTCCGTTCACCGGGTTTATCGCCATGGTCTCCGCTATTGGGACGCTGATGGTTGACACGTACGCAACATCGTACTACCGGCGGCGGTCGGGGGTGAAGGCGGTGGAGGGCGGCGGAGCCAGAGATGAAGAGGGAGGGGCGGCGGTTGTTCCGGTGCACACGCATGCCACTCATGGGCATGCACACGGGTCGGTTTCTTTGCAATCGGATTCCGGCGAGACTGAACTCCTTCGCCACCGTGTCATTTCTCAGGTAATTATTATTATTTATTTATTTATTTATTATGCTTGTGTATTTAAGAGTTTTATTATTATTAATATTATTATTATTAAGGACAAATTATTAAGGACAAATTACAGTCACCCCTTGACTTAAAGTTAAATTATGAAAAAAAACATTTCTTGTTTGCGTAATTACAGTTATCCTTCAATTATGTATTTTTTTACACGTTCATAGGGGTGTGAACGAGCCGAGCTCGCCTTTTTTGGCTGGCTCGAGCTCGAGCTCGAGTTTATTTTGTCGAGCTCGAGCTCGTCGAGTTCTTCTTTTTCTGGCTCGAGCTCGAGCTCGTGTTAATTTTGTCGAGCTCGAGCTCGAGCCCAATCCCTTTTTTTTTTTTTTTTTTTCTTTTTTTAAATATTATTTTATTATTATTTTATTATTGTTTATTATTATTTTATTATTAAAAAATATTTTAAAAAATTACAAAATAAACACAAAATTGTGATTATATATTTTTTAATATTTGTATTTATTTCTATTATACATTTTTAAATAAAAATAACATATAAAAAATAAAAAAAATAAAAAAAATAAAAAAATATTAATAAATCCGGCTCGCGAGCTGATGAACAACTAAAATCGGGCTCGAGCTCGGCTCGTCAGAAAGCTCGAGCTCGCGAGCTCGAGCTCGAGCTCGAAAACCTCGAGTCCGAGTTCGAGCTTTTTACGAGCCGGTTCGTCGAGCTCACGAGCCGGCTCGGCTCGTTTACCACCCCTACACGTTCACCATTATACTGTCAGATTTACATTGGGTATTCATCCGGTTGGTAAACCGACCGAATCGAACCTAAGGACAATTTACCAGCTTAAAGGGTTTTTTCGTAGGACAGTAAATACCGGAGGGGTGACTGTAATTATACAAACAAGAAGGATTTTTTTCGTAATTTCACCTTATATATAATTTATCCTTATTATTAAAGTATTTTTAATTTAGTGATAGGTTGAAGGTCTCCATTATTTTAGCCATTGTTAAACTAATTATTGTTTATTTATTTATTTTTTTTGAAAAAAAAAATTAAGAAGTCAATAAAGAAGATGTTGACTTTGAATAATTTTTTTTTTTTCAAAACTGAAGAACGCTGTCGTTTAATTTAATATCTAATTCCAACACAATCTTGAATCTTATTAAGATAATCAATTTTTTTCTCTAGAGTCAATTGTAATTTTGTCGCTTCCTGTTTTTGTGTATCAAAAATAAAATACAATGTTAATTGAAGATTAATTAAGTAATTATTTAATATTATTAATAATATTTATTTATTCAGGTGTTGGAATTGGGAATCATAGTACATTCTGTAATAATTGGAATTGCATTAGGAGCTTCACAAAGCCCTAAAACAATAAGACCACTAATTGCAGCTTTGTCCTTTCATCAATTCTTTGAAGGCATTGGTCTTGGTGGCTGCATTACTCAGGTTTTTTTATTAAATTTATTTTATTAATACTAATTAATTAATCTATTAATTAGCACTAATTACATTCTTACCCTTGTTACAGGCAAGGTTTAAAGTAAGGGCAGTAACAATAATGGCAGTATTCTTCTCCATAACAACCCCTGTTGGAATCGCAATCGGAATCGGAATTACAAACATCTACAGCGAGACGAGCTCAACGGCTCTGATTGTACAAGGAGTTTTCAATGCAGCATCTGCCGGAATATTGATCTATATGGCGCTCGTCGATCTTCTTTCTGCCGATTTTATGAGCCCGAAAATGCAAAGTAATGGAAAACTACAATTAGGGGCAAATTTGTCACTTCTTATTGGTGCTGGTTGTATGTCTCTCATAGCCAAGTGGGCTTGACTTCCTCTATATATAAAGTCTTTTCCACATTATATTTTGAAAAGTAAAACAAATTATGTCTTAATTTATTCTTGTGAAATATTAATTAATAACAAATTTGTTGAGTTTAATTAATTGTTGCAGCCTCGGATCTCTGTGGTCTTGCTAATTAAGATTTGAGAATGGAGTGAAATGACAAATGTTTTGTTTCGGGGGATTCGAGAGACATTTTTTTTGTTATCGGTTTCGATTTTTTCGATTTTTTCTACGGTGATTTATTTTGTTCAAGAATTTTATGATCTACTATCAGTTATGATGTTTAATTTATACTTTTTTTCCTTGTCATTTTCTGTATAGCAAGATCAAGTTATCTTTCTTTTGTTGTAATCAAGAATGGGAATTAATTGCAAATTAAACAAACAATTAATATTTCTTGTTGAGTTGTTAGAACAATAGGAAACTATATTAACTATATTTCCCTAATAAGCTTTGGCATATGACTACCAAAACATAGAAAAACGAAATCAAGAAAAAAAAGTAAAAAAAATATAATTGATGTGTGGAATTGGGTTTTTGATCGGTAAAGATCCAAATCAACTTAATTAATAATAAATGTCTAATTATCATTTGTTACTAATTACTTAACATTTATTGTCTGACATTGGTTTTCAACAAAAAGTGTACACATATCTGTTGAAATGATGAAACACATAATGAAGAAGATGAATTGTGTCTTGTACATTTATATACACGCAAGAAAGAAACAATAAAAGGAAGAAACTATTTACACCTAATCAAATCCCTAATCAAATCACTAATTAAAACTTGATTGAATCTAATCAAATCACTAATTAAGACTTAATTGAATCTAATCAAATCACCTAATTAAGGCTAAACGGAATAAAAAATGAATATATATTATATTCCTCTAACAATACCCTCTCTTACCTATAAAATATAAGTGAGGCAAATTAATTAATTAATTTGTTCATATTTTGATAATTTTCTGACTTCAGATTGGAGGATAGTCGTCGGGCCACCCCAAACATATTCCTTAGTGTTTTCATTTGTTTTGTAAGTAAACGAGCGGATCTATGTTCTTGTGGATTCAAATTCTCTTGGGTCGCCCAATCGACATTTGAGCAGCAATGAGTGAATTCATCCTCTCGACTCTCTCAGGCGACATGTGTTGGTCGAAAACCTACACGCAAGTGCACGTATCGTACAAGTAATATAGTGGACAATTAAGTCCGGATATCGAACCCACAGGGAATATTTAATTATCTACTCCTAGACGCTAAATTCTACCAATTATTATCAAGCCCACCCTACACAGTCGAAAGATGATTAATAAATTAAATTAAACTAAAGCAATCGAAAAGCAAGCAAAAACAAGAAAGCAATTTAAAACGAAGATTAATCAAAGTAGACAAGCCTAGGATTTTATTCTTCCCCCTATGTGATTATTACTCCCCCAATTCCTTCAATTATGCAAGCAATTAACCCGGATTATTAACCTGAGATGCTAAAATAATCATAACCCGCTTCCGCGTGTATTACAATTCTAATACTCTAGATTCAATTACTATATTCCTATGCAATTAATTCTAGAACACAGCATTAAGCACAAATCTCAATAATGGCTACCTAAGAGATCAACTATATTCCTATGTGAATATCACAAAGGCTCTTCTACCACAGTTCTAATTATTAACCCGATCTTCCGATTCATGCGATTAACAATAACATAAAAGCACATAAAGTGGCCAGTTTCATGAACTTAATAAAACAAGTAGAAGAAATAATCCGGAATTAAAACTTGCATAAAATCATAGAATTGGGTTCATAAATCCCACATAGGGTTCCAAATAAAATCCTAGAAACAAGTAATTTAGCTACTCATGATTAAAGCAAAAACGCAAATAAAATAAATCATATGCGATAAATCTTTGCTTGAAGTCTTCGAATTCTTCTTCTTCGTTATTGCTTTGTGGCCCTTGAAATTGCGTAAAAAGATCCCCCTAATTGTGTGCTTGGCTTGGTCTTATATAGGGTGGAGAACTTGGGGAAGAAGGCAGTTTCCTTGTGCAATTAAAATTCCTTCACTGCGCTATTTCGCCCATCCGGACGGCCGTGTGAGATTTATGCCTAAAATCCGCACGGCCGTGCGGTCCTTGATTCTCCAGAATTCTGCTTTTTTCACTTTTGGCCCATATTTTCTCCAAAATTGCAGTTTTGACCCCATACTTTTCCAATTCTTCAATTTATACCTGAAATACAATAAATCAACTTTTTAAGCACCAATTATCGTTAAAACACACCAAAAGCTCAAATAAAAAGATACGATAAAGTGTAAAAATATACACTTAACAACATGTAGTAGTAATCTTCAACAATCTTTACTCTTGCGGGCTCAATGACTCTTAGATTGCCCAATCAACATTTGAGCATTGACTCTATCTCAGACACGTGGCGGTAACTCTAGGCCTTCTATCTTTGATGGGCTAAAATACTTTTGGATTGCCCAATCGACATTTAAGCGACATTATTTTGACGTTGTCTGTGGGAATGCATATACTCAATCGCGTGACATGAAAGAAGGTGGGTGATGGGCGACCCATCACCTCAAGTACCTTTGGGTTCCCAAATCCGCCTCGAAGGGCAAGAATGAGGGCGACGAACCGCTACGTCGTGTCACCTGTGGTATCCCAAATATGCATATACGGACCAGAATGAGGGCGATAACTCTCGACCTCAAGGTACCTTTGGTATTCCAAATCCACCTCGAAGGGCAAGAAGGGAGGCGACCCTCCACCTCAAGGTACCTCTATTATCTTAAATCCGCATAGAAGGGCAAGAAAGAGGGCGCGCGGCGACTCGCCACCTCATCTAAGCACCCTAACAAATTTGTTAGACTTCTTTCGTCGAGCACATCTTGACTTGACTATCCAAACTGCGTCTTTCGCGAAGACAAAGACGCCTTGCCTTCAACGAGACGGGCAATTGATGTACGTGAAGAGGGGACAAGCTAAGCCTTCACGTACTTCAATGAATTGAAGCTCGATGGTCGCATGCATTTGGGGTATAAGCATTGTGACACGAAGTCGCTTGACGAACATGGTCACCATCCACACTTTCGAGCATTGGAAAATGCAGACGAGCATCGAACTTCGCCTTCAAGGATTTATTTGTTTGAATTGTCCATAATATATGGGGAAATCAACCTCATTTCTTTTGTATCAATTTCATCACACATATATATATATATATATATATATATATATATAAATCAAAATAAAAATACAATTGATATTACTTACCTAATAATAAAAGAAAATCAAATCTAATTATAAAATAAATGAAATATTACGTAAGATGCCACAAGTACATTCTAGCTAAAACAATTCCCATTGTGATGATACTAAAGTTTAGATCACTTAGGGTAGTGTAGAAAACGAGTTGGGAGAGCAAAACTGATCAGTAGCTTGATAATTCGATGATCCTGAGGTCCCTGCGAAATGAGCACACGTGAACTAAGCCGGTGTTTGATCCGGCGGAAACCCCTCCGATGCTCAAGTCGGATGTACGGATCGTAGAGATAGTAGAGAGAATAAAACTCTAGATAGTTTGTGAATAATCAAAACGTACATTTACAAATGAGTAAAACCTCTATTTATATGTCGTTGATTGGGTTGGGCTTACTTTGTTGGGCCCAAACCTTACTTTAAAGGTATTTGAGCTTTCGTGTAGTGGGCCCAATTATAAGTGATTGGGCTTTCGTGTATCAGGCCTAGTTATAAGATAAATTAGAACCCATTGAGTCGGCCCAATTAAATATATCACATTGTATGTCGACAATTTTTTTAAATATAATTTAATTTATTATTGAAAAACACAAGATACACTAAATAAATAATAATAATAATACACAATTTAATTTATAAATTAATTTAAAAGTCCACAGTGTTGACATTCTTCAAACCACTGTAACACTGCAATTATATATAAAGACTGACTACGTGAAACCCTAATTAATTCTTCATTCAGATCACACAAAAAACAAATTATTAAACCTATAAAAAACACGGCATTAAGTAATATGTACAATAAAACCAATAGATTAAACGGAGACTTTTAAACAAACTCATAAAAAACGGGAAAATCAAACAATACATTAACTAACCACCATGATCATATGTCACACGTCTAAATGATATATAAAGCGTATGCTGAACAACTGCATTCCAAAACAAATCCCAAAAGCAATATGCATAAAAAAAAAAAAAACCAAAATAATACCCATTTTTCGCCCCCTACGTCGACTGTATTCTTATTTTTTCCCCATTCCAGTACCGTCTCGACCAGTGGCGAGGCCAGGAATTCAGTACAGGGGGGGCTTCAATTTTCGGGGGTTCGGGGGCAGCGCCCCCGAGATTTTTTTAGGATTTTTTTGAAAATAGGAAAAAGGAGAAACGAGAAAAAAAAAGAAAAAAAATAAATTTTAGAGTTTTTTTTTGTATTAATTTGGATTTTGGGTGGGCTAATTAATAAAATTTGGGACTTTTTTGTATTAATTTAAATTTTGGATAGGCTAATTAATAAAATATGGGGCTTCTTTTGCATTAAACGAAATTTTGGGTGGGCTAGTGAATAAAATTTGGGTGGGCTAAATAGAAATATGGTACAATATAGGGGGAAAAATAATAAATGAGAGTGGGCTTGAGTCCACCCTTGCAAGGGTGGACTCGCCCCTGGTCTCGACGATCTCTTTTCTCATATTTGGAATATCCTTCATGCCTTGGGTTTTTGTAATAATATTATTTTCAAAATATTGCCTCACAATGTAGCACACAACGACCCCGCAGTCGACATTGTCACTCTTCTGTTGCGGAGCATCATTCATTAAAACCACTTCTTCGTCATACGGGAGATCAAGTTTGTGATATCTCCCCGTCTTATCCACCGCGTCTTTCTGAAGAAAAAATAAATAAACCACACAACATTTGTATCAACGACAGTTAATTCATAACCACATGACATTTTTATAAACAACATAATTGAAAACCACATAATTAAATTAGGCACAAATCACAACAACATACTTGAAGACCCAAAAGAGATACAACACAGACCATTAAGTGGTTTCAAATATCAACACAAATAATATAATTTGGTTATAATATGTGCATACTTTAGAGATATGTAATTCAGAACCACATACAACTTTTTTTTTTCGGTTTCACAAAGCCAGCACCCACATAACCTACTTAGCACAGTAATAATAATGAAAACCACTTAAGATAATACCACTGAACATAGTCAAGACATGTACATAATTAACAACTCGTAAACAAAACTACACACCTTTTGTCTGGTTTAAAAACCAACCCATAAAACCAGCGGAAAAATTAGCATGTAAAGATCATGAATGAAAACCACTTAAACTATAAAACCAGCGGAAAAATTAGCATGTAAAGATCATGAATGAAAACCACTTAAACAAGATCATGGTTGGCATATGTTCACAATTCAAATTCGCATAAACAAGACTGCATATCTTTGAGTGGTTACAACGGAACCCAAAAAAACTAATTAAAATGATAATATGTTTACAAAAATCAAAAACCGTATTCACTTAAATATGTTTTTTATACTGAAACAACAATTTACAAAACCAAACAAATTTACCTAAAAAAAAATACACAATTACAATTTTTTTGGTTTTCACAAAAAAATGTTGAAAAACACATTACCTATGTAGCACATGAACATAAGAAAAAACCACTTAATACAGAACCAACGAATATGTTCCCAACTCAAAACCGCTTAAACAAAACCACATATCTTTTGTGTGGTTTAAAAAGCAACCCATAAAATTAGAGGAATTTTTTTTTTGACTAGGTAACTAAATCCTACCTGATCTATGTAACTCATTTTTTGACTATGTAACTAAATCTTACCTGATCTAGATAACTCATGCATACTAGAATTTTTTTTTTACTAGGTAACTAAATTCTACCTGATCTAAGTAAGTCAAGCATAGTAGGATACCTAAATCTTACCTGATCTAAGTAAGTCAAGCATAGTAAAATCCTAATATTATAAGAGTTATTACAATATAATATATTCTAATACACTCTAACGTTGAAAAAAAAAAAGATTTATAAATCTGAGATGAAGAATCTGTTCATCTGGGCCGCCGCCGTGGTTCTTCTCCCGGCGGTGCTCGCCGACTGCACGTGCGAGGCGGAGGAGGATGGCGACCGGAGCAGGAGCCTGGCCCTCAAGTACAAGTTGGCTGCCATCGCCGCCATTCTGGTGGCGAGCGCCGTCGGGGTGTGTCTTCCGGTGGTCGGGAGGAGAGTTCGGGCGCTGAGTCCGGAGAGGAATTTCTTCTTCGTGATAAAAGCGTTCGCCGCCGGCGTGATTCTGTCGACGGGGTTCATCCACGTGTTGCCGGATGCATTCGAGAGTCTGACGTCGCCGTGTATTCCGGCGAGCCTGTGGGGGGATTTTCCGTTCACCGGGTTTATCGCCATGGTCTCCGCTATTGGGACTCTGATGCATGGTCGATACGTACGCCACCTCCTACTACCGGCGCCGGTCGAA